TGTAAAGTGCTAGGAAGGCTGCATATATGTCAGGGTCTATATTGGAGGAAATACCACTGACATCAGTCTTCATTTGTTTCCAACGCAAGTATCCAGCAGCACACTTAGCTGTATTTGCTTTTTGTTTTCATCATCATACAAGAACTCATTCCAATCTTTAGGGATTCTTGTTTTTTTTACCTTAAATAGGGCAGTCCCTCCCCTCTTTCAGGTTCCTTTATAAAATTGTTGATGTAATTATCACATACAAAAACTAATCAATCTGCAATTGTAGAATCTTGAAAATAGTCTCCGCCAGATCCTGAAACAAAACTAGCTTTCAAGTTGAATTATGGTTTGGGATAGTTGGGGTTTGTTTTCCTTATATTATGACTTGTATACATTTTGAAGTTGTCTTTTTCTTGCTGGGTTCTATTTTGGCCCTTTCCCTTTGGCACCTGTGGGTACATATTCATGCATAGGAATGGGTTTCTCTGTTCTTGCAAGAAGTCCAGTCAGTGTTCCTAGAGCCCAAGGCACAGGGCTCAATAGGAACTGCAGGAGACATTCTAAGCTAATTTTATGTTCCTAAGCAAGATCGAAGCTGTTCAAAGATGTTTCATTCAGAATCAGAATGAATTTGAACCATCTTATAAGCTTGTTCTGAGTACTTTTTACTGTCACTGTTGCTGCTGTAGTTTGCTGCTTTAGTTTTCAATTTCATATGTTTTATTATATCGTGAAATCTTTTTTTCAACTAATCTCACATGGTATCTCTTCATGCAATTTTTCCTTTTGACTAAAATTAGATGACAGCGACATCATTTGGCACAGATTCTCCTTATAGTGATAGACTGTAGAGATGACCTTCATCCTCAAAATGGTAAATGGATCAAGAAAGTCTTTGATTGCGGTGTCTGTCATCTTTATGTCTTTTTCTGTACTTGATATTTGTGCCTTTCCAAGGTCATTATGGGTGTCACACTCATCTCATCTCTAGATAATATTCCTAAGTTGGTCTTATGAAGGACCGTCTGATTGTTGTAACCATCTCATCCATATAAAGCACTTATTGTCTGTATGGCCCATATTGCAAATCCTCATATTGAACCACCAGATGGACTTGAATGGAAACTAAATGACTCCATCGTTATAATGGGTATTGACTGATATTCTCAGATAAGAGATTGGTGATATAGCAACACCAGGAGATGAATCAGAAGATATACCCTATGCAATCCAGAATTAAGAAGATGAGATTTATACTTAAGGCAGATTAGATCTACACATTCTAATTCTGTTACTACTCACCCCGCCCCAATGTAAAAACTAAAACTATAATACTTACACAGATGTATTTACCAGAAATGCTTGACATAAATTAAAATAACAGCAGTTCAGTATAACTATGAATGTATCTCTAAAGTCAAGTTCAATTTTGTATTTATACAAAGAACCAATCATCTACTATTGTTAGGATGACACCCCCTTTTGATCATTTATTGATATGTAATTGTATGGTGTTTGACAAATCATGTAAATTGTCATATCCCATATATTGAGATGAATATGAAGAAGACCCAGATGATGTACCCCATGAAATCCAGAACTATGCAGATGAGATTTATACTTAAGGCTGATTACCTCTGCCCCTCCCAATTCTGTTACTACTCTCCCCCACTCTCCCCCAGGCAAGAACTATTACAATTAGATGTGCATTACTTACCAGAAATGCTTGATATTAAGTATAATCAAAGAAGTTGTAATGTAAATGTATCTCAAAAGTCAAGTTAGACTGTATTTATAGAGAATGAATCATCGACTTTGATAAGGGCGACGCCCACTTTTGATCAATTGAGTAATTCTATGGTCTTTATACTTACCAATCATGCAGAATTATAATATCCTATATATTGAGATGAATTTGAAGAAGACCCAGACGATGTACCCCATGAAATCCAGAACTATGTAGATGAGATTTATACTTAAGGGTGATTAGCTCTGCCCTCTTTCAATTCTGTTACCCCCCCCCCCCCCCCCCCATCTACCCCCTCCCCCATGCAATAAGTATAACACTTAGATGTACATTATTTAGCAAAAATGCTTGATATGAAGTATAACCAAAGAACATCATTATAAATGTATCTCAAAAGTCAACTAAAATTCTGTATTTATAGAGAATGGCAATCATCTACTACTATAAGGGCGACGCCCACTTTTGATCCCTAATGTAATTGTATGGTCTTTGACACTTACCAGTTATGTTAATTGCAATATCCTTTATATTTAAATAAATGTTTGAACTGCCCTGGTAATTTTGAGAGTGCTAAAATGTTCTGATATCTGTTGATTTGAAAAATAATCCACATTCTATATTAGGTGCAGGTACAGGTTTTACCAAAATTATGGATCTTCTCATCAAAAATTGTGGTTTCCATGACAACCATGAGTGTCAGACCATTATAACTTTGCATACTACCTCAGAATGATCTCATCAACTCTCGATAAAATTATTATAATGATTGAAGATCAACTGAATTAATTATTCAATGATGATAATGTACCCCCCTGTAATTTTCCTTTTTAGGGTAAAAAAACCCATTTTGACCATTTTCGCCCCGGATACGGCGCGTCAGACATAAATTTTCTGAAGTATCACATAAAAATACATAAGAAACAAGTAATTTCAATTTGTTCAGACACCGGTACATTTTTCGGTGCTAGCTCACATACTATATTTAGTACTTCTAACATATAAGATCTATTTTTCCCCATCAAGGTATGATGTAAATGACATGCTATTTACATCTTGTGAGTTTCAATGACGCGCGTTTGATTTTATAAAAAATGCCAAACTTTGTGACAAAAAATTTCATCAGCTATTGCCCCGAACCGGTCCGTCTTCTCGCTGCAAGCAGGATGAAATTCTTAGCTGCGATGGGAGGCATCATATATTTCAAATTAGACACGAGGAAGTCAATATTGAGCAAGTTATGGCTGTTTTAAATTCAAATAAAACCGTTAACCCGTACCGGTCCAGCTTTTGACCCATACCGGTCAATTTTCGTTAGCTGCGTATACCAAGGGTGCTCATGTTTATAAGTTTATAAGTAATTTTCCGTCCAAGGCAAGCGTTGCCTGTATGACAGTTCTAATACTTTTTAAAACTAACGTAGCTTGGGGGCTACTTGTACGCCAGCAATAATAATGTATTTGAACGTCTCTATCATATCTCCGCATAGTCGTCTGTAGGCAGGTGTTGTAAGGTCTAGTGCCTTGTCTCTGGGGGTAGGGTAGAGCTTTAAGTGTTGGAACAATATGCGTTGCTCTTCTTTGTATTTTCTCGAGGGCTTCTATATCCTTCTTCATGTAGGGATTCCACACTGATTGTGCAAACTCAAGTTTGGGTCTGACTAAGCCATTGAATAGTAGTTTAAATGTATCAGTGTCCCAGTATGTAAATGATATTTTTACCATTCCAAGCACTTTGTTTGCATTGTTTGCTATGGTTTTGACATGGTTACTGAATTTGAGATTTGTATCCATATTAACTCCAAGATCTCTTTCACAATTACTATGTCTTACTGTAGATTTCTAGTCTGAGTTATTGTCTTTCATCAGGTAGTCGAAATTCCTGTTACTTCTTCCAATATGTAATACACCACATTTTTAGTATTGAATTTTAATTGCCAATCTTGAGTCCATTTTTGAACATTGTCAATATCCCTCTGTAGTAAAGCGAGAGCCACATCAGAGATTTACCCCTACAGTGCTGATATATAATAATTAAGGGTGCGTTTTCAAACTAAAAAGAGTGCTCCTATCAAAATGAATTTGCCTACATACCCCTGAGACTCTTATCTGATAGATAGAATGCACAAATAAAACAAAAGTTTTGCTATTATAGGTAAAAAGTTCTCTTGAAATTTCGGAGTGATTTTACCTGTTAATTCTGTCCATGGTCCGCCATTTTTGCGGAAGTTACACTGAAACGCAAACTCCATGAAACGAAACGAAATCACTAGAAAAAACATGGCACACATTGTGCGCATGTGCAGCAAAGTTTAGACCAATCAGATTATTTGATTATTTTGCGCACATGAATTATTTGCTTCTGAGCACTTACAAGCTTACCACAATAAACAAACCTGACAGAGACTACCCTTAGCCTACTCCATTTTGGCGAAATTTCAGCTCAAACTCGTGACAAATGCATTATACATACGCTGGTGTGAAGCCTTGGAGACACTCATTTTGGTAAATATGATTTATGGGGTATACTTTTCTGCAGTTTGTGGGAGTTTGGAACATTAAATGTTAAAATTCAAGAAAATATGCCAATTAAACGACTGATCAATTAATATATACCAGCACTGTAATTCCAAAATTTCTTTCCAGTTTGAGTAGGAGTCTTTGGTGGGGGACGGAATCAAACGGCTTGGCATAATCAAGATAAATAGCATCAGTAGCGCCCCCTGTATCTAGTAGATTTGACCATGCTTCAACTTTTTCCAGGAGATTAGTGGTGCAGGACTTATTTGCCAGGAAACCATGTTGGGCTGTATTTAGGAGATTGTTTTTGAACAGGTGTTCAATCAGTTGCCTTCTAATAATACTTTCAAGTATTTTGCAGGTAATACATGTGAGACTTATTGGGCGGTAGTTGTTAGGACTTTACTTTGAACCGCTCTTATGTATTATTTGGTCATTCTTCAAAATTTCTTGAACTTAGGGGATGGACCCTTATTATCAAAGGCAGAGAATGCAGTAAATAAAAATCAAATAAAAAGGCCATTGATCTTCCAGGTTCGAGGTTGGCCCATAGAAAAATTTAGATGTCCGGTATTGATACAAAAGCATATGATAATGACAATGTTATTGCAGATTGTGAAATAAAACAATGGTGCAATTTTAGTAGGCCAAATAGTTCTCAACCTGTGTGTTTTCATTTTGTTTCGATTTTCGAAACAAATTTGAAAATGAAAAATCGTCGATGTACAAAATCAGAGCTTTTTACGTACTTTTGTGCCGCTTCTGTTTGATCCAATCCTTCATTACTCTTTGAAGTTTTATTCTGGTTCGTTTTTGCATCATCTTGGGCTTTTTCTGTGCTTGAATCGCCCTCAAAAACGTCAAAAAGTTCGTCTCCAAATCCTGACATGCTGCTTCCGGCTTACAGCTTCCGGTTTCAATCCTCCCTCCCACGAGACCCAGTTAATTTGGTTACCTTTAAATTATGTTTTTAGTAGTAAACTAATATTCTTTTCCTTTTTAAAAAACGTAATAAATAACTTATTTGAAAAAAAACAAGTCAACTCAATATTTTTAAGCCCGCTCTTTAAATCACGTGACCAGTTTCGCGCCAAATTGCAATAACAAAAAGAAGTTTGGCATCGTTGTTCCACGATTTCTACAAAATGGATCAAAATGAAGTCGATCAACGGATACAGAAGGTGAAAGGGGAATACCTAGAGTTCCTAGATGACAAGGTTGGTATCTTGTTTCGATTTTGTTGATAAATACTCCATCAAACCTTAGTTTTACTGTTTTTTATTTCTGCCATGTCTAATTCCAGAGTGGGGAACAAAAATAAACCTCTTTAGTCTTTACCTCAACTATCAAAAGTTGTCACAATGACCTAAATTCTAAGTTTCATGTCTTAAACTCTCCCAAGCGGTAGAAAAATAATTCCCGTTCACTTAAAGTAGCAATAAATGAATCCAAAGCTCCATACCTGCAAATGATGGATAAATCCCTACCAAATCGAACGAATGTTTTCATGAATCGCCATATTTGTGATCCAAGGATATCGAATTCTAAGACCACTTTAGATTGTGGTTGTACGCGCGTATAATTGATCAGTCAGTGTTTTTACAAAGTTGGAGAAAATACTACGCATTGCACACCTAAATGCCCTTACACTCTGTTAAGCATGATAAAAGGCAAGAAGTTTAGTTAGAAATAAAAGAGTTATCTCATGAATGGGACCCTTACATAGCTCCTAAAAGGTAGAAGACACTAAATGGTGTAACACTATAAGCTGAATTTTGTCCACATAGAGCATGTGCACAATACTAAAGACATGTAAAATTGAACTGTCAAAAGAACTGAAATATACTTACCAGCTCGCCTCTTCCGGAAGTTATGATACGTTATGGTGTAACTACGGTAATTAATTTTAAAATATTGAAAAAATCACAAAATACAAGTTCTGAGGTATATATCGCCATTTTTAAGCGAATTAGCCCATACTATGACTATATATTCGCACCCCCATATACAGATATATATAAACTTCATCTTCACAATAAATTGAGCTTCTTTCAAATTTCCATTTTTTGAGATAAGTGCCATTTTCTTACAATTCAAGCCGTAAAAATAGTTGGAAAGTGCTTCCCAGTTGAGGTTAATGGCTTTTATACTTACATTAATGTATGGAGCACTTAAAATGTACTTAGAATCGTATAAATAGGTCTATTCTGTGAGATTTATTTTTGTTTTTATTTTTATATTTTTCTCACCTCATAATTGAAGAGCTCCGCTGTTGATTTACGTTCAGTTACACGTATTTCCTTGAAAATTCGCCATGATTGGAACAAATGATGGTTGGTTTATGTTTTATTCATTTAGTTTGTATTTGAATCTAGCTACTTAAACACAAAACATGTCTTCATGTTATGCTAAAGAGCAAAGATCGCGAATTCTAGGTGAAGCCAATTATTTTGCACAAGTCATATTCTGATTGCATCATAGTTACTTTGTACTAGTCACATCCTGATTGCATCAGCCAATTCACGTGATTTACAGTTTACACATGGTTTCAATATACATGTTATACTACTTCCGGGTAGGGTAGTGTTTTTTATACTTTAAAAACGAAGCCATTTCGATCAGTTTTTATAATCCTTGGTAGAACTGAGAGGTATTACAATACATATTTAAATTAATACACATGAGTGTATTTGATGAACTCTCAAAAAATAAAACCCACAATAATATCTTTTTTATTCACAATTTCATGTCATTGTTTCTAACAAGTCACCTCTTTCTCTCTTTTCTTTATTTTTGTCAACAGTCAAAATCAGAATTTAAAACTTGGTTTCTTTACAAGCTCAGCTTCTGTAAATACTAAATAACATGAAAAATGTTAAACCTTACATCCTACACTTATTTGATATGAAATAGGCGATCATTGATATCATTTTTGTGCTGTTAAGTGTGGATCTTTTAATTTTTTAGTCAAACTTGATCGCTGATCTCTGTCGATGTGACGTCACGCATTAAGTATGCACGCATGGGCAGTACAATACATAAGGCAATATGGCGTCTTAGGCCTATACATGAGCCAGAATGGAGGTCTGCAAGTTGAAATGAATATGTTTGTTTATGCATCAATCGATCACACATATAATCCAGACAATCTTTCAAATCATATATTTAACATTGTAATGGATTTATTTATTTTGTGAGCTAACATTCCCTTTAATTTTCATTGGTGAAGCAATGATTTTACCTAAAATGAGTCTCTGTCTTTGCATAGTGATATTTAAAAATCGAGAAGCAAAACCTATGTTGAATATACTGTGTAGTAATGAAGTTTATATATAGCCTAGGGGAACTCAAAAATATTGTTATTATATCGGCAAATTCGCTCGAAAATGGTTGTACACCCCAGAAATTGAATGTTGTTGATTTTTTCAATATTTTAAAATTAATTACCGTAGTTACACCATAACGTATCATAACTTCCGGTAGAGGCGAGCTGGTGAGTAATTTCTATTATTTTGACAGTTCAATTTTACATGTCTTTAGTATTGTGCACATGCTCTATGTGGACAAAATTCAGCTTATAGTGTTACACCATTTAGTGTCTTCTACGTTTTAGGAGCCATGTAAGGGTCCCATTCATGAGATAACTCTTTTATTTCTAACTAAACTTCTTGCCTTTTATCATGCTTAACAGAGTTTAGTATTTTAGAATTCTCTTTATGTTGTTAGATCGCCAATTGTATGGGTTTATCCGCAGAACGAAGAGATTTTAGTTTTTACATCAGAAATATATCAGCAATTTTCAAAATGTCGGAAGGGGAATTCCCCAGGGATTTCCCTTATGACTGGTGCATGCCGGGAACTGAATGGAAACATTGTGATTTGATAGGTGCTTCTTATATAATAAGAATTGTGCATAAGGTATGGGACACATTGAACATTCTCGTCGGATCAAGCATCATGCACTCGGAATCATGCATGATCAAGCATTCTAGCTGATTGAGATATTTTACTGTAATACATGCTTCATTACTTGCAGAGTGATCAAGGGATTTATGAACAGAAGGTCCGTGACATGATTTCCGATTGTGAAGTGAGACTGTCTGTCAACATAAATGATCTTCGCAAGAAAAACCCAATCAGGGCCAAAGAGTAAGTTTTATCGCTAATTATTATATACCTCAAATGTATTCTAGATGCTCATTGGCTTATTCATGGTCACATGACATGGAATAGATGAACTAATTCTCTGGAAAGTCCTAAATCCCTGCTTTCAGGGAAGATGAATTGTAACAGTTAGGTCATGTGACCAGTCAATAGTACATTTTATCTTCCCCCAAATCTGAGATTATAGGAGTTGAAAGGTAAAATGCCTTTAAATGCCAATAAGAACCTGTGAACATTTGATATTGAAATGTAAAGACTTCTCATTTTGTTTTTGTTTACAGAGTACTTATCAGGTATATAATAAAACAAATAGTGACTGCCACATTTTCGGGAAATAGTGTAAAAATTTTCCTCTCGGGAATATCCTGTCCACTGACTTATTCCCTCGGCCTGCAGCCTCGGGAACATGTCAGTGGACAGGATATTCCCTTGAGGAAAATATTTTGCACTATTTCCCTCAATGGCAGTCACTATTTGTACACTAATTGAGTGCATGCATTGTGCTTTAGCAATCTTGAGCTTCAGCATTGTACATCATTTACAAATAGCTACAGTATAACTTTCCAAATTTGGGATTATTTTTTGTCAGTCAATCTAAAACAATTCGATTTTGACAAAAAATATAAGATTCATATTCCGTACCTACCTGTATAGTTTGTAGCTCATCATATTTATTTGTACATGAATAATGTTAGATTAATATTTTCTAGACATCGTCACTCTGGATCTAAAGAAAAATATTTCTTATGGTTTTTAGTGTTGCATGTAAAAAAATATCTTTGCACCCTGTGTACTGACTACTGGAAGTTCAGATTCAAAACCATGAATGAACCATTCAGAATTTGCTTCTATTCATGTATAATAAGTCAATAACAAATTTGCAAAAATGATCCATTAAATGAAATTTAACAACAAAAACTCTTATTTATAGATCCAGTCCTGAAGTTGAAGATACGCCTCTGATTTAATGTTTATTCCTTAATAAACAAAACACATGACAGTATATAAATTACAAGATGTGTTTGTTCTTCTATAGGTTATTGACCAATGGCTTTGAGGAGATGCTTGCCTTCCAGAGGGCCTTGCATGAAGTTGTCCTGCAAGCTGACCCTATGTATGGCAAACAATACGAAGAGTTCTATGTTGGCTTTGAAGGAAGGTAAGCGTATCAAGAAGCAACACTAGCTTTGAGAACTTAGGGTTACTTTTGATTACGGTGCACAGTGCTCTACAAACATTGAAATCACTGAGGCGCAGTACCTCAGTGTTATTTATTACACCATAATGCACCTCATTTCTTTTCAATGTACTTCCTAAAATGTTGCAATAAAAAATAAGGAAATCTTATAATGTTGCACAAGAATTATGTATCATTAAATATTGCACTCAAAAAATAGCAATCCTCCACACAAAAATATCCTTGAGAGAGCACTGGTGTATATGTTCAGTTCATTTAATGCAGATATGGAACACAGATCTTCATATAAAATAACTATTTTTTTACTTAAACTATATTCCATTTAATGGTATATTATACCCCAGGATGCAAAGTGGAATGATGTTAGAACTATTTGTGCATAAGCCACCATCTTATAGGGGAAAGGTAGCTCAAAATGATTATTTTGCTATAAATTCAAACCTTTTGAGGGATTCACCATGTAATTTTCTTTTGCAGTTTCGGGGACAAGCATGTTACTCCTAGATCTCTAACATCTAGTTTCCTTGGAAGTATGGTCTGTGTTGAAGGAATAGCTACAAAATGTAAGTCATCCTTAAAGTCATGTACAACACCTCTATGGAGATGTGTATTCAAGAAAGTTAATAGCAAATAATGATGTAACCAAAGAGATGGTCCAAATGCATAAATGACAGCTTTATTTAAAATTCCAAACCGAGGGCATTTCTAAAAGCTAGACTATATTTTTTAACTTTGTGCCAAATGATACATATTCCCCTTGTAGGTTCATTGGTGCGACCCAAGGTAGTTCGTAGTGTTCACTATTGCCCCAACACTAAGAAGTCTATCCAGCGTAACTACACAGATATGACCTCACTGGATCCATTCCCATCTAGTGCTGTATACCCAACCAAGGATGAGGATGGCAATGCCTTAGAAACTGAGTTTGGCCTCTCAACATACAAGGATTATCAGACATTTACGATACAGGTATATATTCTGGTTCAAGCCTCAGTCACATTTGCTCTAAATGGCTGTATGGCTGCCATGGCTTTACAAATTCGAAATATAGAAAATCTTCATTGTACTGCTTATCAATATATTTTATACTGCATCACACCCCATTCTCTTATACGTCGTAACACAGGAAGCTTACGACGTATACCCAATATTTTTGGCGAGAGATTTGTAAGTACTCATTTATTTCGACATTTTGACAGAATATGGTTCTCTCCCTTTCGTAGAAACATTGACCATACCATGCAGATATACCTCTTGTATCACTGCGTCTCAACAATTCGTCTGAACACGGTCTAGAACTTCTTAAAGCTTCTAGAAAGCACGACAAATTTTGGAAAGAAATGATCATTTTTTCACAAAAATGATAATAGTTTCTATAATTCTAACCCTATCATCTTGAAATATTGATTAGATTAACAGTGCAATTTTTATACATCATCCAGACACTTCAGTTTCCTAAACCAATGAAAGAATTCCGACAAATTAATTTTTCTTTGAAGATATACGACGTCAAGGAGGTTTACGGCGTTTATCATGACATTGTTTCTTTATATTGTCTTGATCTTACCTCACTTAACACGTATTTAATAAGATTTACGTTGATTTAACATTAAACGTATTTACGAGATTGCGGTAATATAAATTTCTTTTCTTTTAGTTGGGTCAGTATTGGGGTTTCCAGGCCATGGTTGCTAAAATTGTCCCTCGGAGCAAAAAGAAAAAAAAAATTTGCGAGGCGTTACTTCTCCCCAAAGAGAATTTTGGTGAAAGCTTGGTGATGGAATTCCCGTGATCCACTAAATTGTATTGTATTGTATTGTAATTGTATTTCGTTTACCACCAATGAAGGTGAGCAATACCTCTTGGGTATATCCCGTATATATACGGTCGTAATTAACGTAATTAGCCTGGACGATTTGAAGAGCCAGAAACCCCTCCTCAAAGGAGCCCTGTGTTATTTTAAGTGCACCCATACATAGACATACAAATACACACCACAGCCTTTTGTACAAGTTGTGGACCACTCAGTCAAACACCCTGAACTACTTTAAAATTCTGAACGCCAGAAAAAACTCTTACTAAAAATGTTCCTACTTTTTCATGCTGTAATTATTAGAAAAAATAGCAAGTATAAAGATCATTCACAATCACGCCTAACCATCGACAATGTACAGTGACAAAATATACGGGTGTACACTTTAACTGTTTGCATCAAATAATTGTGATGCAGGTTTTAAATGATTTATCTAGGGAATATGATGAAGTTGTTCATGTTTAATTTCATGTGCATGCTCCTGGCAAGACTTTAAACTTTTTTTTCAACAGATTCTCAAATACAGCACGAGTGTTTTCAAGGTAATTCCACCCATGTCCATCAGTCCATGTGAACATTTTCCAAACGATCATTTATGTGGGTGGAATTGCCTTGAAAAAATTCGACCACTGCTGTGGGTGGGTTGTTTGCATCTTCGCTGTCTGAAAGTCAAAATTATTTTATCATCTCTATGAGTGCCTTTCCTGGAGATAATACATTGGCCTAACATATGCACCTGTTTGTAAGTAAATTTGCCTCAGCAAAAATTTGACGAAATACATGTAAGTATAGTGTTTGTTTGTTTGTTTTTACAAAAGTTGCATAAATTAATGTTTATAGATGTATGTATTGATAGAATGGTGTGTGTATAAATCTGCTGCTTTATTCTATCCTCATAGAGATTTTCACAACCTACTTAAATCAGGCAATCAGGCAAAGCAAGAGAGACATGTTTACCAGTCCAAAGTACTTATTAATTAGATTGGCATGGGCGAGTTAAGAAGTTTATGGTACCCCCGGATTCACTTACGTGTTTCCTTAAACTGGTGTTGAAAGAATGAAAGTGGCAACTTCAACTCAATAGACGTATTTGATGCATATGCTCACTGAGAATACTTTCTTTTCCGACGTGGTTAGGCTTTGGGGGTTGGTAACCCGATTGACTTTGGGGAGAAGTAACAATGTCATGATGAACGCATCCTTGGCCCAAGAATACTTCATTGCATTACATGAGCTGCTATGAAAGCAGTGAAGGACCGATCTTAAAGGATGGGTGAACGTCGTAACTTCCTCAACGTCGTATATTTTCAAAGAAAAATTAATATCTCGGAATTCTTTCATTAATTTGGGAAACTGGAGTGTCTGGATAATATATATAAATTGTATTGTTATTATCATCAATATTCCAAGATGATAGGGCTAAAATTGTAGAAAGTATGATGGTTTTTGTGAAAAATTATCATTTTTTCCAAAAAATTGTCGTGCTTTCTAGAAGGTTTGAGAAGTTCTAGACCGTGTTCAGACGAAATGTTGAGACGCAGTGATACAAGAGGTATATCTGCATGGTATGAACAATGTTTCCACGAAAGTGAAAGGACCATATTCTGCCAAAACGTCGAAATAAATGAGTACTTACAAATCTCCCGCCGAAAATATTGGGTATATGTCGTAAGCTTCCGGTGCTACGACGTATAAGAGAATGGGGTGTGTGCATATTTCCCTCGATTTTGGGAAGCTACAGCCACTGTATGGTTGATGTAGATGAAGTCAGATTTAAGCATTATTTATATCCTAAAACACAAGCCTTTTAGAATTATGAAAATTGAAGATAGCTAAGTTTGATTTATAGCCAAACTCTGTCATGATAATATGTGTATTTTATTATTCAGTGGTTCACTCAAATTCGTATATAGAAATATTGAGAGTATAGAAGAAGGAAAGTAGAGAGACCTGATGCAAATCATTCATAAATCTTGATTGTACCACAAAAGTAATATAATATATAAGTACTACAAGGGTGTTTTGTACATGTTCCCAGGAAATGCCAGAGAAAGCCCCTGCTGGACAGCTGCCTCGCTCTGTAGACATAGTAGTAGATAACGATCTGGTAGACAAGTGCAAGCCTGGAGACAGGGTGCAGGTGGTAGGGACATACAGGTGTCTACCTGGTAAGAAGAATGGCTACACAACAGGCACTTTTAGGTAAGTCATGTTCATAGATATTATGGTCATCCAGGGTGTTTTACCCCCTTTCGGTGGCCCTTTCAAGACCTCAAAATGACCCTATAACTGGCAAGAATACACTTGTGGTTTAAATATGCCTAAGAACTAGTGAAGATTGGAGCAGTTTGAAAGAAACAATTATAATTAATTAATAATTATTTAAATAATTATTATGCCACAAATACAAGATTCTTGGGATAAATTTTGATAAACAAAATGAAATTGAATTATTTCAGGACAATTATGATTGCCAACAATGTAAAACAACTCAGTAAGGAGGTCTCTCCAATGTTCTCAGCAGATGATGTTTCCAAGATAAAGAGATTCAGCAGGCAGAAAAATACAGTAAGACAGTTGGCATATTTCTTGTTACACTCTCAAAATGATTTACTGAAAATTTCCATTTTAGATGATCTCTGATGTACACATGAATGCTTACTAATTGAGAAATGATGTTGATATATAAATGAACCTTCAGTTTTGCTATCAATTAGACTGCAAGAGGCACATTTTTGTTTTCTGGCACTCCTGAGTTTAATATCTCTAAACAAATTAGTGTTTCAAAGTGTGAACAAATTTCTCATGGCCTTGTAAATCTACCACTTTTTCAATATTTAAAATTATAATGGATTTGAAGACCATCAACATTATAGAATGTTGAATAAATTATTTTAGTATCAAATCTTCAAGCTATCTTATCAGCACAAATCTACTATTAGTTCCAAAATCTTAAGTATGCATTCTCAACTTGTTATATTATGAATGTTATATTTATGTTTTAAATGATTTCAGGATGTCTTTGAAGTATTAAGTAAGTCCCTGGCACCCACTATACATGGGCATGAGTACATTAAGAAGGCTGTGCTCTGTATGTTATTAGGGGGGGCAGAGAAAGTCTTGGAGAATGGAACAAGAATAAGAGGGTATGTAGATCTACAAAATCATTGTTTGAACATTTCTTCGTTTTTAGGCATTAAAGTTTTTCATTCATAAGTTTCAGTTTTTGAACAGATATGAAAAATGGAAAGCATCCTTTGTTATTTATTGTTATAAAAATATAGAATGTTATTACAGAGACATCAATGTGTTACTGATTGGTGATCCCTCAGTGGCGAAGTCCCAGGTATTGCGCTATGTGCTGAATACTGCCCCACGGGCCATTGCCACTACTGGTAGAGGCTCATCTGGAGTTGGTCTGACAGCTGCCGTCACTTCTGATGAGGATACAGGTAATTTTTTTCAATCTGAATTATTCACCTGAAAATCCTTTAGAATTTACACACATGGAGGATACCATTATTTTTTTAAGTGTATAAACCAGGGCACTCACTGTTGAAATCAACTACAATCACAATATATTGACTATGGATAATCACTGCCACAAATTAATGAATGCACCACTTAAAATTTAAAAACTTAAATATTTTGGGAGTGGGAGATTTTTTGCATGTTCAGATATTAGCCCAACAGAAATCAAATGGTTGCGATTAGATCGTACTTGATATGATGTATACCTGCGTTTTAAGGTGAGAGAAGACTTGAAGCAGGTGCTATGGTGTTGGCTGACAGAGGTGTAGTGTGCATTGATGAGTTTGACAAGATGTCTGATATGGATAGGACTGCCATTCATGAGGTTATGGAACAGGGACGTGTGACAATAGCAAAGGCAGGAATTCACGCTAAGTTGAATGCAAGATGTAGCGTCTTGGCAGCTGCCAATCCTGTCTATGGAAGGGTGAGAATGACTTCTATTTATTAGAAATGACTCATTATATATAATCTAAATACATGGTATGAGTAACAGTATGATCCAAAATAATAGTGTTAAAATAAATCAATAGTGTTAAAATATTAGGAAGATCGAATTATTCCAGTACTGATTTCAGGTCAGTAAAGCATCATTAGTTATCAGTTACATCATGGGGTGCTGTGAAAATTTGAAAGTTACATTTTTTGTACATGGCACCTGGTTGGAAATCTGTTTGCACTCTTTCGAAATAATGAATGATACTGACATATTTTGACTAAAATAGATGGAACTAGATTTTCACCCAGCTGAAAAAACTGGGTTAATCACTGTATCAATTATCCATGTAAATTCTTGCTATTTTTATTGCAGTATGACCAATATAAGACTCCCATGGAGAACATAGGTCTTCAGGACTCACTGCTGTCTCGTTTTGATCTGCTGTTCATAGTATTAGACAAGATGGATCCAGAACACGACCGTCTTATTTCTGATCATGTCCTTCGTATACATCGCTACAGAGGGGCTGGCGAACAGGATGGCGAAGGTAAGTGTTGTTGCTTTGAATGAGTTGCGGTTACAAGGCTTTGGCTATTTCATTGGAAATATTGGATATATTAAATGTATACAAGGTTTTTTATGATGTGGAAACTTCTGATTCATTGTTCAATGAAGAGTTCTGAGGCATTTCAGCAAGTGAGGTATGATCTTCCTAAATTCCCTGATCTGCTTATCACAGTTGAAATATTTTGGGATATATACCATAAATAGACCGTTGTAGCAAGATATCATTTGTACACTATTTCACAATGCCATCTATAAATAATCAACAACAAGAAAGGCTATGTGTAATCAATGTTACATGTGTACATGTATAATGTGTTACACAGAGTATTTCTTGTTTCCAGTGTTACCTATGGGCAGCAGTGTTGACCTTCTAACCACTGCTAACATGGAAGATGAAGAAGAGAATGAAGATGTTGAGACTCCAATATATGAGAAATTTGATAACCTCCTTCATGGTGCCACTAGATCGAAAAAGTAAGTTGAATTTTAGTGTACAAAGTCAGTACAAATTCACTTAAATATGATTGATCTCATGATAAACTTTTTTAAATTTGATACATATCTCGAGGTTGAATCACAAAAATAACTGGCATGTCATCCGAAGTAAGCTCTTCAAAATGTATTTAATGTTATATTTTACTTGAGCTTTACTGTTTCAATTTTGGCTTGGAAAGCTCCACTGCAAGACTTTTCCAGTTAAAGTATAATTTTCTGAGAAAGTAACGAAATTCCAAATCAGCAATTAAATTCTGCTATCTTTCTATTGCAGGGACAGAATCGTAGCAATGAAGTTTATGCGGAAGTACATCCACGTTGCCAAGGCACTAAAACCAGTACTAACACGACCAGCTGCAGATTTTATCTCACAAGAGTACACCAAACTGCGTAACCAGGAGAACCTCAGTCAGGACAACATCTCTAGGGTAGGTCTTGGGAGCATGTATTTCATTCATTTTCAGAAAGAAATAATTGATATTTTTGATATTTACAGGGGTCTCATTGTTTTAAGGAATTATTTGAATATTAAATTATAAAATTATAAATGATGTCCAATATTTTTGCTGTTTTCTTTTGGAACAGTTCATACTGAGATTCAAAATAAGGCAGATACTATATTCCTCAAGTTATTTCAATTACAGTAGTAAATGTTAGTGAATTTTTTATTTTACCTGATTGTTGCTGTATATTGTTAATTTTTTTCAGACGCAACCAGTCACTGCTCGAAGCCTGGAGACCATTATTCGTCTTGCTACTGCTCATGCCAAGGCACGTCTCTGTAAACTTGTTGAGCTACAGGACGCAGAGGCTGCTGTGGAACTTGTGCAGTTTGCATATTTCAAAAAGGTACTTGATGAATATATTTCAAAGACAGTATACCGTGACACACCTTCCTTGTAATAATATACTGAGATTCTAAGCTGTGTGGAAATTGAATAGCTAATACTGATTTTCCCTATTTATAAAACTTAAATCTTACAAGTGATTCCAAAAATGAGATGTGATTTTACACACTTTTGAATCGTCTGTTTCTAACGTATTCTTTGCTTTTCTATGTATATTATATGCATTTATTGACAATCAAAAATATCTCAACTTACTTCTCACCTAGGTGTTAGCGAAGGATAAGAAACGTCGTCACAAAGATGACACAACAGATGAAGATACGGATGATGATCAAGACAGTAAGCCTGAAAAGCCAAAGAAAAAGAGAAGGTAGGCTAAAGGACATATTTCCTTACTGTACTTGTACACATATATGTACAGTACTGTATTATGTAGTGTACTTATATGCCATATTTTATTTCTCAATGGACACTAGTATTCTTCTGATCTGTATGAGAGTATTTTGTTGAGAAGTAGGTGATAACTGCGCTCTGCCAACATTTGCAGTCATGATCAAAAGTGAGCTTCTTGCCCAAGAGAGGGAGTAAAAGTAGATCACCATACAGGTTTAGATCTACAAGTGAACCTTTATTTTTTTCAATTTAGAGGCGACTCATGAAATAAGTACACTTAAGCACTGTTGGAATAAATCAATCATATTTGTTGTCTTATTCAGCACTAAGAGAAAGGATGACAAAGATAAACCAGCAAAGGAAAGAAGACCAAGAAAGAATCCTGGAGAGGAGGGCTATGATCCATATGACTTTGAAACCAATGATGAAGAGAGCTTAGATGAAGATGCAGGTGAGAGAATCTATAATGAACTCTTTTCTATATAGTGATGGGGCAACTGAATCAACTGGCTGATTTTACTGAATAAAAACTCAAAAGGCAATTGCAGAAAAGATTTCACTATTTGATAGGATTCAATTAGATTTCACCCAAATGTTCATGTGTGTACAACTTGGTTTTATGTCACCACCAAGAAATAGTGATGCTGTTACAGCCACCATTTTTGTGTTCAGTGTCTGTAACAAATGACACTTGCACTTTCAACCAAGTCATGACATTTTGTCATTGATGATACCTTGCTATCAACCTTTGTATTGTATTGTGTATGTTATACATGCACGTATTCTACATATGATAATAAAATTTAATTCTAACATATCTATTGCAGAACCAAACCCATCATTAACTGAGAGAAGACAGGAGCGTAGAAAACGTAAAGAGAAGAAAGCTGTAGATGAGGCATCAAGTGCAAGTGAAGATGAAGCTATGGAAACTGCTCCCTCTGCAGCTGACAGTGCTAAGACTACTGCTATTGAAGAAGATAGGTAAGATAGAAACATCATGTCGATAAAATCAAACATTTTTGCCTGGAGCAAAAAAAGTTTCATAACTATTAATGTGTATTAGGTGATTCATTAAAATTCATATTTCTTTTACCCACACATATCCTGTTTTCTCTATTTGAAAAAATCATCATATAAACCATAATTTTAATAAAAGTGCCATTAGTCCTATTTACACTAAACGCAACATTTCAAGACGTCTTAGCAAAAACGTTTTAGTAAAATCATGTTAAGTTTATACCACCATTTTCAAGACGTCTTACGAAATATTATTGAGTTTACACCTGAGAGCATTGTTAAAAGCATGAAAGAGGGCAGAGAGGGTTCAAAGAGGCTTTTGTCCATATATTAGGATTATGATAGAACGCAATATTATTTTTTTTGTATGTTATTGGTAACAAAGGAATGAGACAAGAGAAAGGACAATGCTACACATGTAATCAGGAAGTTTCAAATTTTTGGTTTAGCGCAACACATAAAACCGGGCTAAGAACTCTTAGCTAAAACCGATAGATTTACACTAGCTTGTAAAACGTTTTAACGCTAAGATGTCTTGGCAAAATCTGGAGTAACATTACATATGTAAAAAGTTTTAACGCTAAAACGTTTTGGCCAAGACGTCTTAGGGCAGTATTGTAAATCCAACAATTGTCGATTGCAAGGATATTATAATTTCACTGATATGCCAAAGATGAACTTAGTTTCTCAAGCTTTTTTGAATGATATTAAATCTCTGTTGACTATATTGAACTCTATTTAATGAATATTTGATTAAGATTTCTGGATTTCTAGATTATTTCATTTCTGTTCTCATTAACAAGTGTTTGTAAATTCATGAAATATTTGAAACTTATGATTTTGTTATTGTCAAAATATAAAGTTCAAATACCTGACTTGACCTATCAGGGACAATGAACTACATGTTTATTGAAAACAATATCTACAAAAATTAACTTAAGAATTTGTCTGTTTTCAGATTGAAGATTTTCAAGTCGTCACTGTTCAACTTATTCAAATCCGAACATGCCCAATCTATGGCCCTTGAGAGAGTCTCAGAACATGTCAACAAGGAACACCCTGACAAGAACTTTACAGAAACTGACATTCATGCAGCTATTGATAAAATGATGGAGGACAACCAGATAATGTTATCTGATAACATACTCTTCTTGATATAATGCTTTTACTTGAATATAGTCGATTCTGTATATTTATTTTTCTATTTGGATGGACTTTGGATGGGACTTTTGTAGAAGGAAAGAGGTTTGCAATGCCAAATTTATTTTTAATCTTTTTGTTATGTTGAGCATTGAGTTAGATCAATATTAACATATACCTGTGATCTGAATAAAAGGACAGTAGAAAGTAACAGATGGCAAAACCATTCCTCAATTGAATATTATTATTCTTATATTCCATGTAATCATGTACATAGAAATATCAAAAACTAAGAACTGACAATTTTTCACATATTCTTCATCATTTTATGCCTGAATTCAATCATGGAATTTAACTTACAAGAATGAGAACTCATGTACAGTAAATATATGTATTTGATAAAGATTTGTAAATAAACAGACACAATATATACTGTAAAATGTACAGTAAAACTATTGATTTGTTGATAAGTTCCTAATGAAGATTCCACCATGTGTAATCAGTATGTCAGCTTTCATAACACCAATAGTTGCTCTAAAAGGGAAGTGTGACTTTAGGGAGAATTAGAGATGGCCAGTAAGTTTTCAACAAGGCGTAACAATGAGCATAAAAGGCGCGATCCTGGAATCACTATAGGGGATATAGGTTTGAGGTCGTAGGTGTAACGACCTCTGCCTGTTTATGTAGCAATAGTGTAGTATAGATCGTCACATGATTATGAAAAGGAGATTTTTATTTTGACAAATCAATTTCACATTTTATGGGTGAAGTTTCATGATCTTTTATTTGTGTGTAATGGGAAAAATTGATATTTAGATTTACTCATCATGGGTTATGAAATGTCCTACAAATGAATACTAGGATTCGTATTGGCTGGTGCACATGCATCCTTTGGATAATTCACTCTCTCAAAGTTTACAGAATCATTGTAAACAGTCATTATTTTATCTGCAAGACGATTTCAATAAACTGGAATTAACAAAACTCCCCTTATTTCTTAAAAATGGACTGATCCAGTTGACTCGCCTGGATCCGCCATGTTGTTTTTATACAGGAAGCTTATCGTAAGTAAGGAACGTTCCGGCATTTGGAGCATGTTTGATAAATGGCCATAAAATCATCGCCATTAGAGATTGAGTCTTACTAGAAGGAAAGAACATTGAACAAGGTTTAATTGTGCCAAATATGATTTTAAACCCATGCTGAATCACCAAAGTTATTAACAAACAATTGGTTGGGTTACCTTTTTTGGCTCACCCTGTATCTAGCAAATATTTTGGTATCTTCCAAAATATGGCTATGTCTTGCTTCAGTTTGGCCTTTTTGAGCTCATTCAGATGTTAGAACCAGTCTCTGTCAAAGATGGCAGGTATGCACAGAGAAGTGCAATCTTAAAAGTAAGGCTATACACCATGACCCATGATAAATGACAATTGACTTTAATATCACAAACTTTTCATTATCATTTATAATAGCATATTTTATTTCTAATTCTTTTAGATATAGCGGGATAAATAGTGTAAAGTAATCGCCGTTTGCGGAACAAATCGTGAAACTTTCCTCAAATGATCACTGATAGCTACTCTTTGTATAAAGCAACTGTGCCAAAAAATCGCTTCATAGGAACTACCCTAATTTTACAATTCTTACCCCCCCCATGGTCACGGAGGGGGGGGGGGGGGCTAAAAAAAATTTGACACAATTTTTTTTACTAAATTATGCTCATACTTCAAATTTAATATTATCTTATCATGTTAAAAAGTTAATGTTGAAGTAAAAATATGAAATACCATTGATTTTCGATTGCTACGTTAAAGGGTGGTGATGGGCGACGCCCACTTTTCTTGTATTGAATATTTTGCAACATATCACAGTAGCAGGAGTAAATCAAATAAGTGATATATGATTTTAAAATTACATCTATATCTAATGTTTCACATGACTATTATTTTTCACCTTTGTCACTGTTAAAGGCTTGTTTTGAGTCACACCCATCTTTTAGATATACAGAAAAATGGTCGATACGGCTTGACTTGTGGTTTCTTTTGGCTTCTGAGTGCAGTTAGACTCCATATATCAACTATCTATATCTGTTTCATAGTTCCTTTAGTTTCACTTTGCACACATTTTTAAATCATAGTTTTATTAATCTTATCAATAGAAGGATTTATACTAGTGTCTATCAGTATCATAGTTACTTTTTGGTATGTTGCAGTGTCCTTATGAAGAACAATTGCCATCACACACACATAATGCTGTACAAACAAGATTTCCTTTCAGGCTCTTGCATCGTGTAGATATGCATTGGTTTTTGCAGCTACATTAATGAGAGCCTGGCAAGCATCTGATGCTTGGGGTAAGGTTGTCCACCTTGGTATTCATTTGATGTCTTCAAATATCCAGCCCCACTCAGCTAGGGAAGGAACTTGAGGAAATTGCTGTAAGTGGTTGCCCCCAAATAAATACATAAGGGTTATGTACTGGGAGGTTTTGGATATGGGGTTTATCCAGAGGGAGATATGCATATCTACCCGAGGGACCGTAGGGACCGAAGGTAGCTGTGCATATCTCACGAGGGATGAAACCAATATCCAAACCGACTGTACATAACTGCTTTATCCTATACCAAGTAGAGTTTTCATTGAAATTACAGAAAGCGGGAAGATATGCACCGAAGCGAGAAGATATGCACCGAAGCGGGAGATATGGCGGGAGATATTGAGGTTCTGGATATGGAAACCTCAAAATCAGGATACGGGATATATCTTACCAACTTATCTCCCTAAAACTCTACTTGGCATAGGATAAAGCTTGGTATATGACTCTCTTCATATGCTGTAAAAGGGCATCTGATGTTGGACGAATGTGTGATATTATTGAAGTCCTCTTTGTGAACATCTCCTTCCTTGCAGCATTGATTGATGTTTCATTGCTTGTTTTAAGTTGGAGACCAGAATAATGAACTGCTCTAAAATAGGCATGCATCAAGCAGGGTATTGGGTCGTATTGAGATTTCTGTTAATAGTGTAGTCAATTCAGGGTAGGTACTCCATTGGTTCCAGGCTGATGTCTTAGACTTTCCATTAAAGCCTGATGTGGTGTCACACCCAGTCATAGCATGGCATATTGGGAAACACATGGCTTTCTGAGGAGTCATTTCATGGGCAATTTCGTGGGCTGGAAGGTATCTATAGGACTTTCCCTTGCCAAAGGTAAGCCAGATTTGAATGTTATGTTGTGCAGCTATACTAACTGCCAGAACAACAATGTATGAATCAACTGGTCTAATCGTCATTTTTGTGAAGCCTTTTTTCATTGCATCATATATGTGCAGAAAGATTCGGGAATCTGCCTCTTCATAGGATGATGGTGAAATTTCAGAAACATGCTGCTTAGGATATGCCTCTGCAGAATTCCCAATTGTTGTAATCAGGATTTTATTCTCTGGTACTGGAATGGCTGATACATTTGATGCAAGGAAGGTAAAGAGATCACTTTTCTTGTCATCCGAGCGTAGAAATTCTGTCCAATTTCCTGGCAATTTGTTTTCTGGATAAACTATTTGACGCTTTCCAGATCCATGCTTTTTTCTTGTTGAAGATTTGACACTATTTGGTATATATTGATCCCATACAATATCAAGTCTTTGTACTCTATTAAGTTGATCTGCAGTATACTTTTTAAATATGTCATTTGAGTATTGTAGGAAGGTTTTTGCTTCTTGAGTCTTCAGCAGGTGGACTATTACGGCACCATCAAGAAACAGGGCTTCAACCTCTAGTGTATTGATCTCTCTATTTGGAACAAGGTCTTCCACTGGTTTTAAGATATCTGCTTTGAGTCCAGTCTTCATTGTGCCATCTTGTGAAAGGGATGGAGGGAATGCCTGGTTTTCATGTCGGAAAAGTTCATCTAAGTTGCCGTCTCTATTCTGGCACGCTATGTATAGTTGTGAAAATAGGGCAGTGTCATTTTTCAAGCTTGCTAGCTTTGAACTTGACTTAGATTTGTTTGAAGATCTTGAAATTGTTTCTCTTGATAGGGTCTGGTGATGGCTTTTGATCTTTCAATGATTCTCTCCTTTATATATACTTCACATTGACTTTTCCCCCTTTTCTCAATTGTGTTCAATGTGTCAACTGCACTGCTTGACATGATGTTGCAATAAAGGGGTTTCCTAAATCATTGATAACCTAAGTAAGGGAATTGACATATTTGTTGAAACTGGTTTGATAACTAACACTGTGCTCATGGTTTGCAAGGACCATCATTATTCTTCATCTCATCCTCAAACTCAGTTAACATTCTTGCGATCTCTGGACCATCGACCATCCACTTCTGTAATGCGGTTGGATTGTCGAACAACCCCACAGCTCCACCATCACTTTTGATCACACTATTATTTCGCTCATGGGCTTGGTCTATTGACAAGGAGGAGAAGCTTTTTCTTGACTTGCTTGTAAATGCCCCTTCATGAAACTATTGTGAACTTCAGGGTGGATTTCTTTGAGCTGAACCATATCACTTACATGGACCGGACAGGTACCTAGCGGGCATAATTGGTATGATCCAGGGAGACAAACCATGGCATGATTTCCATGATAGTTTCTTTGTAGACTTTGAAGTCCCCAAGTCTCACAGCTCTAACGTTTGTTAGACCCAGAACTTGTAATTGGAGTACCATGTACCAGAATTTGAATATAGGCGACGCTGTTTCTTCACTCTGCTGGGTATCTATCAAATATTCAAAATCAAGAGGCAAAATTGTATTGATTGGTAATCTACCTAAAATCTACCCAATTAACAAGACCCCCTCCCAATACACATAACACTCATTCTTAATTCAAAACTGCCCTTATTAGACCAACAATATCATATTTTAAAACATAACAGTTAAAGATGCATTATATGTCATAGGTTTCTCCCCCAGACAATCAATGATGTCTTATTGTTATTGCTCATATAATATCTCACATACCGTAGATATATCTTGAGAATAACTTTTGGGTATATCATTGCCGAAATATCGGAAATAATCAACAGAACAACGAAACTCCAGAATTAAACACAATCGATTCCTCAGCTAGCGAGAGGAATCCCCATTGAGTCACACAAGCGCCCACAAGTGCCTTGAACCAGGCATCCAATCAGGTTTATGATGAACAAATTCAACGACCAATCAGATAACAGGACGACTTTCCCGGTATATTCACACTTCAGATTGAATTAATTTCTTCGAAAATAATTAGATCGGCCAGCACAATCGCGAAATTAACACTGAAAGAGGGGGATTTGGGACTTCTTTGGTAATTAGATGGGTGAAACTCAATATGCAAAAGTCCAGAGGGGTCTTGATTTTGCTATCCTATGGCATAGAACCTCTTCAAAATAAGCAGAACAACTTCTTGATTATTTTTATTAATCATGTAGGTCAAAATCATACTTACAAAAACTGATCCAGATCCTATCATGAACGTTGATGCTCATTGTCACTCAAGCATGACCTTGTCAAAAACAAGAAGTGATTTCTGTTTAAGAAAGATACACTTTTTTCTAGATTATTCTGTATTTGCATTCAAGTCACTCATCAGATGTCACATAGTTTGTCAAACTTTATTTTCAATTAAAATTACGTTGTTTATTATGTCAAAGTACATGTAGTGCCACTATGGAAAAGAGATAAAAGGAATTAATTAAAGATAAGTAAATATTCATTTTGCTAAAAATTGACTGCGATCCCACTCATTATCATGTGAATCATGGTAAAAGGTCCCAACATTGAAATTATGATACTATTTAATGATAAACCTAAAATGTTATGGATGGTCATTAAGCCTACCCCTATAAATTTTAGGGGTAGGTGTAAAAATTGCGTAAAGTAGATAAAAAATGGAGGAAATTTTCGGCACAGTTGCTTTTTACACCCAGGAAGGTTGTCTGGTCATATATGGAAAGTTCCACCATTTGTTCCGTTTTCGGCGCTTTCGCCCTTTTTTATGTCACTATTTATCTCGCTAATATAAAAATACAAGGATCCAATTTCTCTCTTAAACTGTAGTAAAACTCACATTTTCTTGGCATATCATTGTTATTCATCCAAAATTTACTTTTACTTGACTAGAAATCCAGAGAGCACATGTGGTATATATGAGTAATATATGAATGTTATATATATATGATCGAGTAATATATTTATATGATTCATGTGAATGTTATATTATACAGTATGAGTAATATATTTATATGATTCCAGTTTTTACATATAATGTCTAAGTCCTTCATGTTTTGTGTCATTATTTTCAGTAAACTGTCACATTGAATATTTTTATCATGTTGTCACTAAGGCAGAGAAGATGCCTTTAGGTCGTGGCCTGTTTGGATCTTCTTCCCCTAAACTCTCTTGTACAAGCTGAAAAAGAAAATGATGCACATTCATATTTTTGATTTACTTTAACATCAATAATGGGGCATACAGGTTTGTGAACACACTACTTAGGATATCTTAAACTACAATCCTTTTTCACTTTATCTTTTAGATATTAAGTATAATATACTATTTAGACAGCATAATTATCATTGCTTATATTGCTATATCACCATACCTACACGATACACAAATTCAAAATGTTTAAAAACATAAAACAGGTCTATTGGAAAATCATTGGTTGATATATTGATTGTTTAAAGGTGCTACAAATAGTGCAAGGGGGCCATTCAACGATCATCGACAAGTGTCAAAATATATTTAGGTTTGGATATTTCATCAAGACTAACATATATTTTCATTATCTACAAAGAAACCCTCTGGATGAACATTATTTCAGCTGATATTCCTCTTGAAACATGGTGGATCTTTAAAATCTATAAGTGGGACTCCCTTTATAGAAGCTTTGAATTGAATTTACACTTCTTAATGCTGAAATTGATAGTTTATACATACATTTTATGAAAATAGGTATGTCAAAGAAGGTATTAAGCCAAATATTGACCTGATAGCTCAGAAAAAATAAAAAATTTCGAATTTTCTCTCTACAGTCCTTATTGCCCCTTTAAAGTATAAAACAAATTTTGGATTTTAGAAAGATCTGAAACTGTTTAACTTACCTGGCGAGCATCCCCACGTCCAACATCTCCCCTGATTGACAGGAGATTAACTACCTGCTCCTGGCGCAGGTCTGGGTATTTCTCTATAATACTCTGGAAGTATATTTCAATGTCAATGAACGTATGCAGCATATATATAATACACATTTGACATTTGTAGTGCAGGCTGCCCGACTAACTTTCAAGGTTATCACGTGTACGGTACAGTAAGTTTATTATAGGAGACATCTCAAGACATCAAAAAAGAAGGTGAAGCCCATATTCCCCACAACAATATGCCTTTACAAAGCCAAGTGTAATGAAATATGTACAAAATGTTATTTATTTTTACTTACTGAAAGTTCCAGTGACATCATAGAAGTGTCTTTCAATTTGATCACCTCTGCTAACATGGGGAGGACATCAAATGGGGCTTCCCTCTGAAATATATGGAACCAAATATACTAAGTACATGCACATGTAGAAATCAATCATTCTGATCACATTGGAGATTTCTCTCTTGTATCGCAGAAGTGTGGCTTACCAAACTAAGACTGAATAGATTAATATAATTCATAATAGTCAGTTTTAAATTGACAGCGTACATGGATTTTCTATGGCAAAAGTTAAATAGGCATTGACAGCATTGTATTAGTGTAAGGCTATCATAAAACATAATCACAAAAAAACGCCGACCTCATCATCACTGGCCAAAATGAAGATTCCTAATAATGACTCACTGAGAAGTTAGGAGATAATCTTCCAAAGAGACTATTCAACTGGTCAGCTTCCCGACAGATTTTCTCTGCAGCCATTTTTCTTTCTTCATAATTCTTGAAGGTGACTTTTCTAAAAAAAAGAAAAATCTCACAACATTTTAAATTGTAATTTTTTGTATTATCAATTTATTTCAAAGACACAAAATAGCTTGAACACTTTTTCACAAGTCACATTACCAAATCCACCTCTATCAAAACAACAGTGAAGTTGAACACTTTTAGGTGGATCCCAAGTGTTCACCTTAGAGTGGTTTTGGAGAACATTTAACGATGAGGTAGGAGTTGATCAGCTATAGCGAAAGGGGAGAAATATCTCATTCTCCATTAAATTGTTTTTGAAAAACAGTAATACTTTGACCAACCCCTCTTGTTTTTCAAAACCAGCAGAAAACAAAACAATTTACACATAGACTTTGAATTTGAAAATGTTTTTGACACTTAAATAAAATTTCCACTAACCTGCCAAGGAGAGCCTTTAAATATTCACATAGCACCTTACTCTGGGCGTCATAGAGCATCATTTCAAAGTACTGTGGTTTCAGATGCACAAAGTCCTGGCAGTAATCCTCTAGTGTTATGTTGATCGTATCTATGGCATTGCTGCTTTGTAACCTGGAGAAGAGGAGATATATATCTTTGTAACAGTACCCTCTCACTATTGCAAAGGAAATCCGCCTCTGAAATGCCTATACATTAAAAAAAGTAATGTGCAGCCTAACTTATTGACCATATAAATCTCCCAATGTTTTTTGCATTTGTTTTTGTGAAGGTAAATGGAAACTTCTGAACTACCCACACGTCATGTATGTTTTCTGACACCTAAGTAGAACGTCAAAGTATCAAAATTGTGTGATTATTCAGTCTCCAGAAAATAGAAAACCTACAATGGTCTCTTATTTCCAAGATGGCATTTTGCACTTAATTGTTCTGTCAGTGGGGTAGCGCATAACACCATTATAAATTCTGATAGCTCCGACCTAATAAATATGTGAATAACTTACCATTGTCTAGTGAGCAGGGACTGGACATGTGGTTCCAGATCCATGAATACCTCTTCTAAAAGGTAACCACACCTAAAATGTAACACTACAATATACTGAACTGTGAAAAAAATATAATCGTCTTCTGCAAATAAAAAAATTCTGCAGTTTTGAAATAAATTACAAAATTAGTACATTTATTTGATTGTGTACAGTTTGTGTCACCATCTTTCAATTCATTTCTTATTGTTGATTTCTGATTTCACACCTCAACTGTAGTACAGTAATAGTACATAGCCAAAGGCGTATATTTATTTGATACTACAGTAATTTGATACTACAGTAATAGTACTAATAGCCAAAGGCGTACACTTATTTGATTGCGTAAAGTTTGTGTCACCATCTTTCAATTCATTTCCTATTGTTGATTTCTGATTTTACATTTCGTATGTACTACAGTAATGGTACATAGCCAAAGACTAACCTTTCTCTAGCTATCCTATTAAATGTCTCTGCCATGGCTACAAAGCCATCTCTCCCCTCAGACTCATCAAGGTCTTCTTTGCTATGTCTCTGCTTCAACTGCTGTGTGAACTCTATCATAGAGCGACAATTGTTGATGTTTGCAATCTGAAACAAAGGCAGAACTTGATAAAATGGAGTACATGAGTCTTCTGATAAAAACAGCAGTATGTGTAACAATGGTATCAGAGTTATGGAGGTGTTTTTATTTGATTTTTGTCACCTTTTCTTTACCTCTTCGCCTCTTCTTTCTTTTCTTTACCATTTGCCATTTGTAGTGCAGGTGAATAACATTAGTTATGGTGTTGTTTTTATATGATTTTTGTCACCTTTTTTTCCTTTCACTTCGTATAGAGTGAATATTGTTAATAAATCTGAAGAAATGTGAATTTTTGACCATTTACTCGTTAAATGAGTTTTTGTATAGTTGAAAGTACCCGTTGTATGAAACTGAAACTTACCATGTAGTTAATGAAAAACTGTGGTTGGCTTCTGTCCTGGAAATGTTTCTCCTTGTAACTATGAACCTCAGCTAAAAATCAAGAAAAGCAAAAATTAAATACATAAATCAATCATTTTTTCATTAATGCCAGAGTAATGGTTGACTTAAATTATAGGTGTTCTAAGATCCAAATATTCCACTTGCAGGTAATCCTGGCCAGATTCACAGGTAAGTTTTACGGAAGATTTTGAGAGAATGGGACATGTAACTTAAGATGTATGTAAATTACTCCACTTGAGGATAGATCACCTCAATAACAAGCAAGCGTAATTTTACTCCACTTGAGGATAGATTACCTCAATAACAAGCAAGAGTAATTTTACTCCACTTAAGGATAGATCACCTCAATAACAAGCAAAGGTGTTTTATCTATCCAATTGCATTGAGGTATTAACTACTTCATACTGTTCATTTTTCCCTCACCTCCCTACCATCTTACAGCACAAGGGACACTAGTTCACCCAAGAAATAAATATTGAAGGGTAGGAATTGATAATTTTGTTATAACTTGTTTATTGCCACTAATATCAATTTATTGTTAGCTGTTAATTTAATTATTCATATCATATAACATTGACGTAAATGCAAATTATTCACAATAATATATACAAAAAAAAAATATAAAAACATATAAAAATATATAAAAACATGATCAAATAGTTTTGTCTAAAAGAATGAATCTGATTCACATTTATTTTCTATGTGTCATGACCATAGGTGTAACACTATTTATAATAGTTTTATTGAAGTACATGAATATGTCATCATCATTGAAAATGAATATGTCATCATCATCATCATCGGTTACTATAGCTGTTAGGTGATTTGCCTGTGGTCACTAAGATTCTATTTTTAGGGGTTGAATTTCCCATCTTATTCTATTTTTAGGGGTTGAATTTCCCCATCTTATTCTATTTTGTAGGGGTTGAATTTCCCATCTTATTCTATTTTTAGGGGTTGAATTTCCCCATCTTATTCTATTTTTAGGGGTTGAATTTCCCCATCTTATTCTATTTTTAGGGGTTGAATTTCCCATCTTATTCTATTTCTAGGGGTTGAATTTCCCCATCTTATTCTATTTTTAGGGGTTGAATTTCCCCATCTTATTCTATTTTTAGGGGTTGAATTTCCCATCTTATTCTATTTTTAGGGGTTGAATTTCCCCATCTTATTCTATTTTTAGGGGTTGAATTTCCCATCTTATTCTATTTTGTAGGGGTTGAATTTCCCCATCTGAACTTGTAATCTGACTTTGTAACTTGATACTTTGGAAGGAAACAGATCACCATATTAATCTGACAGGACCTCTGTCTGTATCTGTATCTTTATCCTGGCTAGAACCATAGACAGTTCTAGCCAGGGCCGGCCTTTTTATCGAGTTAGCAGCACTCTAGAACCTGGGATTTTTTGTTTTAGATTCTAGTGAACTAATAAAGCCGATAAACTGATCAATTTTATAGTTGAGTAAAAATCTATAAATAGCAACACAACAAGCTACACGCTTATTCAGGTTGAATGGTAAGTGTTGTATGGTTGTCAATGTGACAATTCATGATGCTGACTGACACAAACAGAACCGTAAAGTTTCCCTGAAAATGTATTCTTTTCTGAAGTGATTTCATATCTTTTAAGTGATATTGTATAATTATTTTGCAATGTGTGAAAAAGATTTAAGCCCGACCCAATGAATTGTGTAATAACCATTCCTTTCAGGCTTTGTTTCCTAAAATTAATGCTTGACGCTCCACATCTCATGCAAATTTTGGAAAGCAACACCTTCAAGGAATGACCATTCTACATTGCACTGAGTCCAGGGCTTAAATCCTTTTATAAAATATTTCCTTAAGTCATGTAACATCTCCACTGTATTTGAGAATACACCAACAGTTCATGTATATTTTATATATACTACATGTATTTTACAATACAATATTAGTGTTTGTCATTTAATGTCTTTACCTTTGTAAGTCCTGGCAAATGTGTCCATTTCCTGTACACATAGGTTTAGTACCTTATTCACTAAGTCTCTGCTTATAGTGGCTGCTACTTGAATCTGGAACAGATGGGGTTCAAACTTTTGTTATGAGGTAATTCAAAGTTAAATTCAGTTAATACCCCCTTCTTAAAATGAGGCAAATTTCATTCAATGAAATGGCAATAAAGATTACACAATAAAAGATATGAAATACACCAAAAAATAAAATACACATACAGTTGTACAACATTATTTTGGGGTTGATGGTATGAACCACCACCTATCTACAGTATAAGGAACAGTTAAATACAGTCCCCATATGCAGGTGTTGCTGGACATGTACTTACATTTTGTTCTATCATCTGGAATAGTATAACAGGCAATGCTGTGTTAAAGTAGCCATCACCATCTGCCTCTGGCGGAGTGTCCCTGTGCCAATCCTGAATGAAACATAGCAATTATATGTTGAGTTGAATGAGTTGAGTTGAAAATTCTTGTCGGCCTATCAGGGATCAGGTTCTCCTTACTTGGGTGGTCTAGCTACACATTTTTAAGAGAACTAGTACATGAACATACTAGAATTATGGTCCTCTTGGGATTAGTTCTCCCCCCCTTTGTAGTACTTACTTGAGTGAGTAAGTATAAGGAAAATAGTTGGAATAAGATCCCCAGACAAACAGGAGACAGTAATCTCTTGATGTCATAATTTTACACAATCATACAGAAGTAAGCATGGGACCAATAATATGAGTGTCCAGTTTTAGGACATATAAATTGTGATATTACATTTTTGAAAAAAATACATAATTTGGTTGACTTCAAGAAATTATATCTATAGTAACAATATCTTAAAAGCATGTCTGGGGCACCGATTGGATCAAAATGTTTTCTAGCTGAAGGTCAAGTACATATATTTTAACTAAGGAGTTTCAAGGAAATATAAATACATTTTTCACAGAAAGAATTTTGTTAGAGGGTTAAACCCTACTTTCATAAATTAAAAGTAGATGTGAGCTGCATTTGTGGTAATATCACAAGAATGAACCTACTTTAATATCAGATCTCAGAGAATTGGCCATCCATTCTTTAAAGTTGGCTCTAATCTGTTGTAGGTATTGCACTTCTAGTTGTTTCACTGTGTCCTCACTGAGGAGGGGACTAAGTTTAGATGTATCCACATTCAGGGAGGGGTGTTTCATCAGCTCTTTGCTCCTGGTAAACAAATTTCATTCCTTTTTTTAGGAATACAGGTACAGAAAACATTTGTGCCTAGACCTGCAGTATTTATTTGTCAATATAATACCTGCTCTTCGGTCTATATTTCTTAGTTATATCAATGCAGAAGATGAATTATTTACACTTTTAGATATTCATACATTTGGCATTTTATTACGTATTTTATTCATAAGAAATATTCAAGCATAAGATCAATGACATACGTGTATGTATTTAGCCAGTTGAGTAGAGACACTACTTCATTTCCTTCTAGGCCTTGTTGTATGAGATCACTGAGCTGAAAATATCCAAAAAAAAGAAAATATGTTCAAAGTAATATACTTCTAGTACATTTTGAGTTACTGAAAACACAGAATGAAATCCCGAGCTATACGCTGATGTGAAAAAGTTAATCCACCCACGACCCTTTAGCAAAGTACAATATGAATGGTAGACAGACCTGGCAAGGATTTCATTCAGAGCATTCTAAATAAACAAAGCAACTGTTAAAAGCAAAGTTATGCAAAACTATATTTTAACATAAAACAGTTGTAAAGTTCCTCAAAACAACATGTTACTTTGGTAAAAACAACTAAAGAAAATTGCCTCTTGATATTGACACCCCTGGTAAAATACACCCATGGGGAGATGGCCCTCAGAAAATATAGAGTTTGGTTCCTTTATATCTGATGAGACACCATCATGAATGTATACACGTGTATTGTTTTGTCCTATAGACCTCCTTAAAGCGATCCACGTGGATCACATTTAATTTCATTATGCTGCCAGACAAACCCCGGGACACAGACATACAATCACACACCCAACAGCCTTAATAAGTATTAACAACCACTAAATCAAGTACTCTTATGTATATACAACTTACAATATGAGGTTATTTAATGGGAGGTTTTTGATACTGGGTATATCTGAGGGAAATACAATATATCTACCCGAGGGACCGTAGGGACCGAAGGTTGATATATTGTATTTACCGAGGGATATACCCTGTATCAAAAATCGAGCATTTAATAACTGATTTATCCTATACTTAGTAGATTATGAGAATTAAGTATGCATTGAATGTTATGAAACCCTCATACAATTGATAGTTACAATCAAAACATGAATACTGTATTCTATCTCAATTTAAAGTTCTTAACATTTGCTTTTTTAAACTCAACAACTTTGTGAACTGTATATGAAATTAATATTAATTCAATGCTAGAGCAATGGTATATCTCGGAGATTCACAAAAAGCACCGAACGATATGATATGATGTGAGGTGATATGAGGTGAGCGGGTGATATAAATATCTCCCGCTCACCTCAGCGGGAGAAATATATATATCACCCGCTCACCTCAGATATCGATTACATTCCACATGTTATTTACCTATAACACTGCTAAGTATGGGATAAATAGCATATGACTTACATGTTCAGCTAATCCATCATGATACAATTGCACATACTTGTCTAGAATATCATAGTGCGGTGGAAAAACAGGCGTACACAATGACTGCAAATATACATAAATAAAAAATTAATAATTTGATTCATTTATGTGAATAGATAACCATTTATTTTGAACAACACAGAGAGGCTACTACAGGGTGGCAAGAATATAATTAATAGCAACTTTTAAAGTTCCTACAATTAAGAATCAAATACACAAGGTTAAACCATTGATTGGCAATATCCAAATATAATTAGTATTTTACCAAACAATAATCTGGTCCATGTCGTAATCTAAGAATTGTGGTTACTTATAATTGAAAAATATTGTTGAAAAATAAGGCTGAACATAAATTGTATAATCAATGGATGTATACACATAGTACATGTATAAACCAAACATAATATACCTTGACTACTTGTAGATCTTCGAGTACAATTTGACGTGTCATCTCAAGATGACGGACAAGCCACATTTTATCACTTGATCGATCCTCAAATTGATTACCTTCAATCCTGAAACATATATGTACATAGTATACATTTATGATTTAACATCACAATCAAAATCAGAACTCTGAAATGAAAGATAATGTATAAAAAGGTTTTTCACATGTTTAATCTTGTCTTGTAACATACCGATAAATATCCCTGAAAATTCCAAATCAATCCGTCAAGCAATTTGTCTGAAATTGCTCCATCCAACCATCAACCAAGCTGACAACATTATTGAAACTTTTCTTATAGGTACGATAAAAAGTTAAAGCATTACAAGTGGTACGTATTGAATAGCCTGTATTACCTGGATTGAACTGATCCCTTGAATGTGTCGAAACATTTCTTTTTCCACCTTTTAGGTCTATGAGGGGGTAGGAATCCAGTTTGTTCTTGGCGCTTCAGATGGCCCTCATCTTTACTGGAAACAAATACAGTAACTTCATTTGAAAATCCACATCTCTCTTATACCAAGCACTTGCAAGGGCTTACGGACAACACATCCCCTTGACAACTCATCCCTGGACAACTCATCCCCTAGACAACTCATTCCCTGGACATCTCATCCCCTGAACAACTCATCCCCTGGACATCTCATCCCCTAGACAACTCATCCCCTGAACAACTCATCCCCTAGACAACTCATCCTCTAGACAACTCATCCTTGATCACATGAATCCAAATTGTAAAGTTTTTTTTGGAAAATGAATATTTATTAAACACATTTTGAATCATTCTAAATAATATTTTTTCACTTTATTGACACAAATAAAATGGTCAAACAGTCAAACGGTGCGGTTAAAACTTTCATCTTTTGTCCTTATATTACATGACTTAATATTTAATGAAAAAAAATAAAGTTTTCTCTCTGGATAATTTTGAAACATGAACTTCAGTAACTTCATCTGTGACTGCTGTGGAAAAATAATCTTTTGATTAAAGAATATTTGAACTATGAACAACTAACATATAATGACATCAAAGGAGCTTCTTCAATCAATTTTAACATAATATTGAAATTGTTTATTAAAAGTAAAATTAAAGGTAAATATTTACATAACAAATTACAGATTAATTGGTTGACTATCTCCTTGACAATACCAGTAGTACCATGGTATATCATAGTTTTTTAAATTTCCCCTCAAGAGGACAACAGAATCGTCGCTTTAATACCTTACTATTGTTATGTAAATGGAAAGAGTTAGAAGTGCAGATCTTAGCCATTTTTAGGTTATGTTTACGGAACAAAAGTGAAGTATTAACTGTAAATCGAGGATCGTGTTGTCTTCTGAACTATTTGTTCGCACACATGTACATTTTCTTAGACATATGATATTCTGCCTACAACTGGAGGAATAAGGAAAAAACAAAAATCGTACCTTTGAGGCTCTGACATTTTGTTACCGAAACGGTCTGTTTACAACATTATCGAGTGGAGTACCAGTGTTCATGTAATATATGATTTTGAAACTTAAAACTGATCGTGATAACCAAGACATTTAAAAAATATTTGAATAATATGTGAATAAACAATATTACATTAAACTACTCAAACATGCCAAAGGATGAGTCATCCAGGGGATGAGTTGTCCAGGGGATGAGTTGTCTAGGGGGTGAGTTGTCCAGGGGATGACTTGTCTAGGGGATGACTTGTCCAGGGAATGAGTTGTCTAGGGGATGACTTGTCCAGGGGATGAGTTGTCCAGGGATGAGTTGTCTAGGGGATGAGTTGTCCGGTTACCATCTATACCCTTGCAAGTTGGTGTATCCCATAACTATAATCATGTATGTAATGACGAACTAGTGCTTCAGTATTCTTAAAAACACAAAAGTATGTGAATCAGTTAAAAGATTCAGTGACCAAAATATAGTAAATTCTTACAGTTCTTCCCGCTCTATGATCCTGAGGCAAGATACAATGATCTGTGGTTCTCGTCGTACTGTCATGAGCGTACGCTGTAAAATCAGGGACAGCTGCTTGGCAAGGAGGTCTGAGAGTCTCTCTACTTCACCAAAGTAATGCTTCACAGTCTGAATATAAACAGCAAGTTATATTTACTTATAGTTAAGTAGTTTAGTCATGCTTATGTGACTTAAACCAAGCCAATAAATGTAGTTCAACCTGTGTAAGTGGAAAACCCTTGGTTCTGTCAATATGTTCAACTTCAGAGGAGTTCCATTAACAGAGGTTATGGTGTTACAGGGATTTATAGAACTGGAACACTGATTGACTGTATTTTGTGAAGCATCAAGTTACTTTTCTTTGATTCTGAAGTCATGTCATTGGCTCAGTGCATCACTGAAAGTAGTTCTACCATTGAAGACCAATTTTATACCATAAATATTCTAGTTAATTTTACTAAACAAGACACTGACATTTTGAATAATCTTGCCATGTCATTATTGTTTGTGATAACCTACGTTATCTTGGGATAGTATCACACCAATCTCTGCAGGAGGTTTTTCATTTTCTTTTAGCATATCTATGGTCTTCGTAGATCTCTTAATTTCCTAATTATCAAGGTGCGTTGTTTATTCTTGATGATAAATCACAGTGGGAGGTTATTCCATTTTAGTTGATTAATTATGATTTCTGAAATATTTTATTTGCTAATCAAAGAGCAACGTAGGTTATCACAAACAATTTTAAACGATTATATCCTGAATTATGAACATAAAGGTTACCTTTTTAGTGAAAATGAGGTCAACATCACTAAAAAAGTATGTTGATGGGTTGATTCCATCCTCAATATCACCAAGTCCAATAGACTTTATTATCATTGAATATACTTTTTCCTGGGATAATGAATGGATCTAAATGATATGCCTGTCTTCATGGTCAGAAAATAGTCATGATCATAAATATAACAATCTTAAAGAATACTGTAGGAGGTTAATCAAAATTATTTTTGAAAATTGAAAATGTTTTATAACGATGATTTCAAAGTTGGTAGTTTTGAGGTGTTCCAAGAACCTTACATGAAAGGTTCCACTGTGCAGGTTTTACTTTATATCTACAAAAGGCTCCCTTTTGTGTGATGGGCATATGTGATCTAGTAAGGAAGTTGGTTTGTAAATACAAGTAAGGAATGTAAATGATTTTAGAAAATGAGCCAACATGGAAGTGTAAAAGAATAATTCTATTTCAAGGTCATCCATCATTTCTTTTTCAAGAAATAGTTTACAACATCCAATAACATTGACTTAGACCTCATTCAATTTATTTTTCAAGTGGTCTGCTCTAAGGTACAGACTATGTGTACATTGCAGGTAATTCACCCTGAACACTCTCACAATTTCGATGCTGATCTTGATGAAGGGCTATCAAATCCCAGACCCGTAGCCAGGTTTTGCAAAGGGGGATTCACTTTTTAAAAAATTCCAGGTGGTTCACTAAGACAATTTTGGTCCAAAACTGCATGAATTGATTTTGAAAGAATTCTTACCCAGAGGGATCTCCCCTGGCTACAGGCCTGAGTCATTTCATTTCATTTGAGTCCCTTCAGGGAATTCTGATTAGTTCACGAAATGTTATCTGATTTGGTTCAACTAAATCAAACTAATATCTCTTATTCAAAGAGATAGATGATGTCCTCTTTAAAAAATACAAATCAAAAGAGTATTAATTCATAAACATAACTTCTAAATAATTAATAACTGTGACATGTTTTTGTTGATGATTAAAATTAAATTGACATACAGAACATGTATTTTATTCACGTAACATTATCCAATTACCCCAACTGTGACATGTGTATCATTAGAATACGACATTAATTAATTCAAAATATTCTTTAATTAATAACCACACAATCACTTTGTTTTCGAAGTTATCTACATTAACAGCAATCATCCAGAAGAGTAAAAAATACTATGGCATAGAAAAGTGTGTAAAATGTCAGGGATTTTTTCACCATGTGAAATACCACAAGATGCAATCAAAGCATTGCATTACATGAACTGTAGTGGAGTGGCAGCCAAGTGGCATATTCAACAGCGACCCAGAGAGGTGGTTTTCACAGTAATATGGGCAGCAAAAAACTCAAGGCTGAAGCTAAAGAACTATTCACGCCCATTATGCGCAAGGCAAATACACCACTGGACACATCTTGTAGCAAGAAAATCAAGACAATTCTCAAATTCAAGCAAGTCAGGAAAAGACACGAAACCATATGCAATTGATCCTAAACTGGACAGTAAAATTGGTGATGAAATTGAAAAATCTGAGGAAAAACTTTGTGAGAATGATACAAAGATAGACAGAAAATCCAGTATTAACTATCCCGAAATGAATGAAAAGTCTGACAATTTTTCAAATAAAAAAGAAAATGCCATTCATTATTCCAATCTAATGAAAGAGAAATTAGCTATTTGGGATAAGGATAGGAATGAAAAAATAAGACCTGAAACTCTGGATTTGATCTCTCCGAACAAAGGAGCTTCGGAAAAACAAAAAACAGAATCTAATGTCATAACACAAAATATTGAAAAGAGACAGGTAAATGGAGACTTCACTGAAGACTTTCAATCACCTACTGGAGCTATATGGAGAAAGAACAGTGCCCCAAATATATCCTCCAATGTAAAACATTGCCAGAAATCTGCCAAAACTTTACGCAGAAGTGATACAGTTGGTCCATCCAAGTTACATATGGAAGAGACCATTTCAGCAGAGGATATTGAAAATGCCCCTGAGCCAGGAAAACCAGCTGTTAAACCAAAGAGAGGAGTGTATAACATTATAAGTATTTTGGAAAAATATAAAAAAGAGTTGAATGATTCTGGAGAAAGGGCATTGATACATAATGATTATAACAACGATGAGTCCAAAGATAAACCAACCATCAAACCTAAACCTGCCTTTGTTCGAATGCCAAGTAAGATTAATTTCAGTGCTTATCTAAAACCAGGGCAATGTAGTTCATTTGACTCAAATAGTTTAATCATGCCAAAACCAGACTGTATCCCAAACAACAGTGACCATATTGTAAAATCAGGTGATGTCATTTACAAGAGTGAATATATGAATACTAATGTGCAAGAACCAGAATGTTTTACTAACAATGGTGACCATGGTGATGATCACCACATAACACAGCCAGAAGATGTGACTCCCAACAGTCAACACCCAGATGATACGCAAACTGCAAAATCTGACAATATTACAGAGAAAAATCATAAACACAATGATTATGGTAAAACCTGGCCAAAAAGGTTAACAAATCCAGTACATAAAAACCCAGTGGATTTCACAAATGGAAAAGATACAGTGAGGTCCCTTCCAAGAATGAAAGTAGAACAAATTCCATATTATGATCAGGAGCATCTTGATAAACAGACACCAAAAACAGCATGTTCAAATTCACAAACACCACCAATAATCAATGGAAAATATCTTGAAATGAAAACACCTAAAAATGGAATAGCTGAGAATCCAAAGCTGCAACCTCAAAGAAGGAATCCATCGACCATTGAACCTAGCAATGGATCAGTATTGACAATACAACGGAAATCAATCCAGGGACCGATCCAGGCACCAACAAATCATGTCAAACAACAAACACTTAAAATCATTGAACCCATTGGTTCAATTCCTACACTAAACAGTAAAATTATCAGAAAACTTGTACAAAAGGTACATAAATCTATGACAGTGGTTTCAATCACAGATGATTGCAGTATAGATGGTGGAAAGCTTTGGCGAATAGACACTACGATGCCTGTCACTAGTAGAAGAAAACTCACCAGTGAGCTCGTAATGCATGGAGACAATATGTACATACTTGAAATAGAAGCAATGACAGATCTTTAGCCAGATAACAAGTATTAAATAATATCCTATTCGTAACTTTTATATGGACCTTTATTCTAAAATAAACATTATAACAGAACAAATATGATATATCATAGGAACAAAACTTATGTACAATTTTTTACAAACTTATGGACATACTCAGACAGCTAGGAAAGGCAATATGACCCAATCTGAACTGACATCTAATTCAAACCATTGAAATACATGTGGGATAAAGACAAGATGGACATACTGAAGAGTGTTTATGAATGAACGACCACTAAACACCAATCATACCGAACTTGTTCTCACTACGTTAATGAAAATGTTGGTGAGCAAGGATGTTTTGAGAACAAGTTTAGTCTGAAAATAGCTCAAAGTAAATATCAATCAACACTTTCCAATATTGTTAATTAATGAAATAAAATTATATTTATTAAAAATATATTATGTTGTAATATTAAAGCTTTAATTTTCATATCATTACACAATATCCTCTGTAAAGAAATGTATTTTACCAATCATATCTTTTTTATTTTTTGTTATTGTCCGACCAAACATTCAAAGGTATGATGTATGTATACTTTGGCCAAATGGAGAAAAGAATTTCATAAATATGGTAAAAAAGTTAGAAAGGATTGAAAAGAACAACTCCCAAATCGTGAGTGTGACTTTTTACCATGAAATTGAGAAATCAGATACCCAGCAATATGCTCAAGAAGGAGATCTTCTGAGACATGAAGTTAAGTTGTTAGTTACGTTTAGAGCAATACACTATTCTAAAAAGTTTTCAACCCAATAAAACTTTTGTGAAAAATATCAGCTATATAATGAAAGTCTGATTAATTACAACCATTTTGTTATAAAATCTGAGGAAATATCCTTCAGATTCAGAGGTCTCTTCTCAGTTCAAAATTTGGGGTAGAGGTAACATTACAATAAATTGGAAATTGTAAGACAATTATAACCCAAAATCTTTCTCAATGACCTATAAATATGTTATACATCCTATACTAAACTTATGCATACCAAAATGATGATATATAAATGTGTTTATTGAGCAAAATGATTACATCCTATCCCTAATTTCACTGCTATTCGAGGAGTAAAATTGTCTAAAAATCATGTTTTAAGCGGGTTTTGGCACTTCCATAATTTTCTGTCAGTTTGTCAATATTAGAGAGATTTCGCACATAAGTGAAAGTACAACTTATACGTATACGTATAGTTTAAAGGGTCATGTCGAACTTTTATATTTACTAAAATCAATTTTAAATTGTACTTAATGGAACATAACTATTCCCGTTATAGAAAAGCTCCATCAACTAGAGACTGTGAATGCACTGTCATCTGTACGTGTAGATTATGCACATTATAATTAAATGCTTGCTTCCGTGTCCTTGTAGTTGTAGTGTATTATAAACACGATCCTTTAAAGTGAGTCATGATTCTTTAAGTGAGTCATTACATAAACAAGTTGATTATTTCAATGTTTTCATGATCAGTACGAGATAAGTTCAATGAACTTACAAAACGGTATATTTACGTAGATGATAACGTATACAGTTGGATCTCCGTATAAAGATTTGCCTACATGTGTGTGGAACAATTGACCGCAAGCATTTTTTGAAAATAATTGGCTGAGTGGGAACAGTATCCAATCAAATACTTTAACCATCAATTTGAAACACCAATCAAACCAGTAGGTTCTAGCAATTCCTGGAAAACGACCCATTCAGTAGCTCAACATATGACATACAGGGTGTTTCATAACGAGCATCTCCAAAAAGTCAATTTGAGAAAAGATGGGTCTATAACATATGTACTATATATGAGCCTATTTTATTCTAGACAAACACATTTGGATCAACTAAACATGCTACAATTCAAGAAAGTACAAATGACATCCCTTTGACCTGTATTTATTACAGTCCGAGAAGATCTTTCCTGACGAAAAGCCCACATTATGAAACACCTTGTATGTTTACCTTTAAGTATAAGTATACGTTATAAGTTGTACTTTCACTAGGTGCGAAATCTCTCTAATATCTTTAAACCTGTCAATTATGACCAGTTTGGGACAGGCTTTACAATGGTATGATTAATATAACATATAGAAAATGATATCCTAGACTTAGAGGAAAATGTATTGCACTGTATAATAGCAAATTGTAATTTATGACATAATTTAATGGAAAAAGTCACATTATTGATTTTGTGAGACAATGTACATGTATTTAACCATTGCTTACTTTCTAAACTTTTCATCTAATTTTTCAAATTTCCACCAGTTATTCGACAATAATTACATCATGTGCCTCCAGGAGTTTAGTAATATTATATAAAATTTTGAAAATGAAAATTATGTAAATTATAAAATTAAAAGTGCAATTATTATGCAATAATAGTCTTTTGTAATGGAAGCAGGAAATGTATATTAATTAAGACTCTTTATACTTTTTAGAAAAACATTAGGACATATTTTAGCCCTAACTTAAAAGATACAACTATTTTATACAGCAACTATATTCTTAATATATTGTTGAGATGTAAAAATCTGAAAATATAGGTCATAAGAGGATTACAAACTTTCATAAGATTCTTTTTAATCATGATGAAGGTATGGCAATTTTGAGCCCCCCCCCAATCAATAAATAATAAAAATAGTACCGTGGGTACTGGGCTCACATGGTGTTGCTCAAAAGTGAAAGATTGCTAAAATGACAGAAAATAAAAAAAATGATATAATTTTTTGCTGATTTTTTCAAGCCACTTGCCACTACTTGGACTGACTGAGAGACAGATGGACGTATCAATGTTAAGTAAAATGGCTGAAAAAAAAAACGGATATAATTTTTTGCCAATTATTTGTAACAAAATTATTTCATACAACTACTCTTTACAGTGACATGGCTTTTTGCAATGAAGGACACCTGAAATTATTTGTAAAGCTATGAAGTGGGCCAAAATTGAATTTCGTGAGACAAAAATGGCAACCATTTTGAAAATAGGCAAGCTTTTGAACCAGGAGTCATAGGAGAGTTTTTTATATTGATGTTGAACAAAATTAACTTAAAACGGGAATCCTATCGACAGAGGGTTTAAGGAAAATGGTCCAAAAGTGGATTTTGTGAGACAGATGGACAAATCAATGTTAACTAAAATGGCTGAAAATAAAAAAAATGGATATAATTTTTTCCTGATTTATCGTAACAAAATTATTTCATACATCTACTCTTTACATTGACATGGATTTTTACAATGCAGGACACTTGAAATTATTTGTAAAGCTAGGAAATGGGTCAAAAGTGAATTTCGCGAGACAAAAATGGTGGCCATTTTGAAAATATGCAAGCTTTTGAACCAGGAGTCATAGGGGAGTTTACTGTATTGATGTTGAACAGAAATAACTTAAAACAGGAATCCTATCGACATCCTATCGTTTTAAAACATGCCACTATTGTTGATGGACGGATGGACAGACGGACAGACAGACAGACAGATGGATAAGTGAGTGATTGCAAAAGCTCACCATGTGAGCTAATAAAAATACTAAATAGACAATCACTCTTGATTCACAAAATTGAGTCTAATGAAATAAATGATAGAACAGTAGACTTATGTAATTTCTACTTGAAAACCCATATTCATTCACTTACATTGACATCTGTTGGACTCTTTGTTGGTTGTTTATATAACTCATAGAGCAAGTCATCTCTTGATTGTTCCAAATCAGCCAACCTAAAAACAGATGGTCACTAAAATTTGATATCTTCCATTTGCAACGTCATACTACCTTTTTAAGAACAAAAGTTTGTGCTGAGTAGGTTGGGTCCTAATCCACGATTGACAATCTAAATATCCTGGGGAGCTTTCTTGGAGACAGATATACTAATATGATTGGGATGTTGTATTTCTGGTAAGAAAATACTCATTTTCAAAGACGTGACTGTCTAAAATTACTTGCCACACCATACCTGGTATGGTTGAAACTCTTAATAGATTTCATGAAACAAAGTATTACAGTGATAAAACTATTTGTCTCACTTCACAAAACATGAAAAATGGATGTGGAGATAAAATTTGATTGGTTGAATGAAACAAATTGAACTGAACTCAAATCATGGTCTAATGTGGCATTAAATTTTTGGAACACTATTCTTCATCGCCAATACTTAAACATTACGGATTGGATTATGATATATTCAAATGGTGACTTTAGATTGTATAATATGTACATACCCTTTATGCGCATATAGGAGTTTCCCATCATCAATGAGTTCTTCAGTTTTGCGAACCATCTCAGGAACAGTGAATATGTGCTTCATATTTTCTACTGCAGCTGCCAACTGGTAATAAGGGGACAAAAACAAAGAATGCTTAACGATATTCCTTAATAGGAACTCTTGAACATATTTATTCACATCATATTACAGTTATTAATTTCAATTTTATAAACTTGGATATAAGAGTGGAATATTTTGAATGTTAGAACTGCAAATATTGAATGAAAGTTAATTTTGAAAATCGGTACCCTGCCCACAGGGTCTAGTTACAAACTACCCTCTGCCTAGTATAGACTATATTACATTTTAGTAGCCCCGAAAGCCTGGGTCATAAATCATTTCAAACCTACCACGCTAATCATTTCTAAATCAATCAGCGAGTTAGAAGAACACATGTTAAATGCGTGCTTAATAACATCAGAGGATATTAACAAACAGGGTGGTCAAAAAATGGAAACTCTTACACCATTTTCCTCATATCATTTTAAGAAATAACTCCCTGATATTTTACACATTTGTACATCATTCAATTTGCTACCAGCCTACTTTATTTCAGCACTTTAAAGAACATGCCCCACTGGCCACTATTGCTCTGTCTGGAGACCTGTACTCGTCTAAAATGTCCCTACCTTTGGGGATATGGCAGAGATAGAGTATATGAGAATGACCTCAGGACAATTGCAAACCTCAAAAGTGAGATCATTTGTGTCATTCAGGCCATTATTGATGAAGAAACCATTCGGGTCATTGACAACTGCGCAGTTTTGCCTACAGCGCGATGATGGCCAAACCTGAAGCATGTTATTCAAAATGCTGTAAAATTGTGACTATCAGTCTGATGGTCATGAAATATCGTAGGGTGGTAGGAAATAGAATGATGTACAAATGTGTGAAATATGAGGGAGTAAATTCTTAAAATGACAAAGATATAAGGAAATTGCAGGGTTTCCATTTTTTGACCACACTGAATAAACCCAATAAACCCATTCTTGCCCATTTCCTGAAGTCTTGCTAAGACAGGTGTTCTGAGTTCATCAGTGCTTCCAAATTTTTTCTCTCAAGTCATGCTTGAGTTCTGCATACAAGTAAAAGTTATTGGGTGTACGGTCTGGGGAATATGGAGAATGTGCAAGTAGGGGTAGCCCCAGTGCCCTAATAGTTTCACTTGTGAGCATAGCTGTGTGTGAACTCAGATCACATGTCTTAGCAAGACTTCAGGAAATGGGCAAGAATATGGGTTTGAAAGTGTGTTTACAAAGTGGGTGAATAGGCATAAGAAGTGTACATTATGTTGAATAGCTTATTTTCATAACATTGAGACTTTAGGACCGTTTTTGTATTGTATTTCTTGTGGTAGTAATAGACGTGGGACTATGAATAAAGCCATCAGAAGGAATAAATATGTTTTGGAAAGTTGTGACATAAACAAACTTGCCCTGCCTTTTTGTTGCTTCGGTTGCTATAGCAACCACAACTTTGGCCAATCAAATAGAAGACGCTTTAAATTCACAGAATAAAGGTAAAAAGGTTTTGGCTACAAACTCTGAAAAGTTCATCAAGATTGGTGCAATATTAAGAAAGTTACAATATCTTTCGCCTTATTTATATTGGACACCCTGTATATTGAATGGGAGGTATATATTGAATGAAAGAGCAGTGTATACTGAATAAGAGTGGTATATATTGAATGGGAGGTATATATTGAATGAAAGAGCAGTGCATACTGAATAAGAGTGGTATACATTGTATATTGAATGGGAGGTATATATTGAATGAAAGAGCAGTGCATACTGAATAAAAGTGGTATATATTGAATGGGAGGTATATATTGAATGAAAGAGCAGTGCATACTGAATAAGAGTGGTATATATTGAATGAAAGAGCAGTGTATACTGAATGAAAGAATGGTATGTATTGAATGGGAGGTAAATATTGAATGAAAGAGCAGTGCATACTGAATAAGAATGGTATATATTGAATGGGAGGTATATATTGAATGAAAGAGCAGTGTATACTGAATGAAAGAATAGTATATATTGAATGGGAGGTAAATATTGAATGAAAGAGCAGTGCATACTGAATAAGAATGGTATATATTGAATGAAAGAGCAGTGTATACTGAATAAGAATGGTATATATTGAATGGGAGGTAAATATTGAATGAAAGAGCAGTGCATACTGAATAAGAATGGTATATATTGAATGGGAGGTATATATTGAATGAAAGAGCAGTGCATACTGAATAAGAGTGGTATATATTGAATGGGAGGTATATATTGAATGAAAGAGCAGTGCATACTGAAAAAAGTGGTATATATTGAATGGGAGGCATATATTGAACGAAAGAGCAGTGTATACTGAATAAGAGTGATATATATTGAATGAAAGAGCAGTGTATACTGAATGAAAGAATAGTATATATTGAATAAAAGTGAAGTGTTATTGTGAATTTTGAGCTGTATACAATAAATGATGATGTGGATCTGCAAACTTAAAATTCCCTAAATGCATACCTGGCTGTGCCTAGAATTTTCATCCCTGATCTTTGTAAGGCGAGCACCATACTCAGATGTTGTCTGGTATATCTCATCAACCTCAACCAAACTGCAACATAAAAATTTTATTGAGAAACATAAAATATAAATACACAGGTAGCTGATTTCTTAAGATTACAAGAATATAAAGGGATTTGAAGGGATAGTAAATAAGTTTCAAACAAGGCATTAACAAGCAAAATGCTGAACTCCAAATGTCAACACCAACTCCAAACACAAATCCCCTAAACACAGTCCACAAAAAATAGTACTGTGGGTACTGGGCTCACATGGTGTTGCTTAAAAGTGAATGATGGCTAAAATGGCAGAAAATAAAGAAATGGATGTAATTTTTGCCATTTTTGTAACAAAATTATTTCATACAACTACACTATACAGTGACATGGCTTTTTACAATGCAGGACACCTGAAATTATTTCTAAAGCTAGGAAATGGGCCAAAAGTGAATTCTGTGAGGCAAAAAATGGCGACCATTTTGAAAATAGGCGAGCTTTTGAACCAGGAGTCATAGAGGAGTTTTCTACATTGATGTTGAATAAAAAGAACTTAAAACGAGAATGACACAGGTTTTAAAGCAAATGGTCTAAAAGTGAATTTTGCGAGAAAAAAGTGGCAGCCATTTTGAAAATAGGCGAGCTTCTGAACCAGGAGTCATAGGGGGGTTTTCTCTATGGTTTTAAAACTGGCAAATTGTTGACCAATTCTGGCCAATTCTGTATTTGATCAGATAATATATTACAGACCTTGTCTGAATATCTTTGACATCCTTCAATGATGTATGTAGCTGATTCAGACCAGTGATAACTCCATCCAACTGGGACTGGACTGCAGTTTTCAACATGGCTTCTACTGCTGCCTGCAAACACAGGTTACATCATTTAATCAAAAAATAATATGAGTACATTAGTAATGATTGGAATAAAAGACAGGAAAATAAACTGAATGGTAACTGGTAGTTTGTAAAACAATCAAGAAATTTCAAATTGAACAAATTGACTGGATATCAAATCAAAATAATTAACTAGTTTAATACATTTTATCATACAATGTACCTTGGTAACCCAATATAACGGCAAAGAGATAAATCACACATCTGGAACCAGGACAGATATGCGAATAATATGCATTTCAACTGAATATCATCCCGATATTCCTCTCACGTATATAAATATTATATATCTTATCTATATCAACATATCCTCAGGTGGATTCCATTCCGAACATTTCATGCTCATGCCATCTATTGTTCAGTGTAGTACTAATCAGGAAACGTGACAATGACTAGGTGACTCACAAAAATTGGAATTTCAGTGATAATTATGTCATTAATCATTGATGCCATTACATTGATGTTACAGCTATGGTATCACTAAGGTGATGACAAAAAGATGAAGTGAATAAAGGGTATCCACAATGATTCTCAGTCAAACATTTTCCCCTGGTAGATAGTGTCAGTATATATGATATATGCATTTCTCAATTGTCAATATAAACAAGGGCAGAAGGTAGGGTAATCATTCAAATGCAATAGCAATTAAAGGAAATACAGTGATACAGAATTATAAATAAAAAGATCAATAAAATGGATTTTGCAAGCTTGAACCCAGATTCAATGTCTTCTCTTTTAGGTAAAAAAGATCGACAATAACAGATATTGTAAGCTTGATCCCAGATTTAATGTCTTTTAGGTTCAAAACAATCCAAGAAATGGCATCACATTCAATAAATAGGACACTTATGTAGCTGATTTAAAAGTACAATGCTAATTAATCATTATGTGATCTTCTTATATGAACGTTTAAAACAGATATCTGAATCAGGCTGCACAATTTCTTAATCAACACCTGGGATTTAGGCCCAGCAAAATTTAATTGACAAAACATCTCACATACATCAAAACATGTATGCTTAACAGCCATTGTATTTTGGCATCCTAAGATATTTAAATTCTTGTATTCTGAGTGTCAGTTTTCCTATCAGTGGCCCAGAAACGCAATATCCAGAAATTAACTGCTTTAAGTCTCTTGCATGTGCATACATGATTATGATAACACGCCTAAACATTGACAAGGTACAATGACAAAATATACCGTAGTACACTGTAGATGTACGGTGTCACTATTTAACCGATTTGAAGCAAAGACAATGATGTAGGTTTGATGTAGATTTAAAAAAAATAATCTGAGGAATACATTAAGGGTTTCATGTTTGATTTTTTAAGTATTCATTTAGGAAGACATTTAACTTTCTAATAACGTTAAAAGATTTTCAAACAGTGCTCGATTTTTTTCGTAGTCAATTTACCCATATAATTGGTCGGTTGGAAATTGTTTTTTTTTACACATTTCTTTTGATCATTTCCTCCCCTGTTGTCTAAGAGTGTCGAATATTTTAATGAGAATATGTTTCTTTAAACAGCACAATCAAGATCTGTTGAAGATTTAATAAGTACATGTATTAACGTTTTGGCTATAACTAAAAAATCATAAAAAGTGTACGTTGTCAACTCAAATGTACGTTGTCCCATTGAACTTACTCATGTCACAGTTAACCCTAATGCAGGCAATGTATTTTTCATAACACTAACAGACAGGGGATCAGATGCATTTAAAATTGAAACATAACAATTACAAAATTAATTGCACTTTCCAGACATATCATAAACAGGATTTTAAAAAGTCATATTCAATAAGCTAGTATAGATCTATCTATCTATCAATGTAGCTAACAATATATTTTTTAACTAGAATTCTATTTTGATTTTGACAAAAGTAAGTATTCATGAGTTTGTAGGAATTCTGTTGGAACCCAGTTCTGATCAAGTACGAAGTTATTGAAATCGGCGCAGACGGACTTTGGGAGCTGGGAACGTAACCGGAGCAGCTCAGTTGAATTATTTAATCAAAAATTAAAATATATGATTTAAAGCACATTTAAAAACATACGAGATTGTTCGAATGCGTATTTATTACATTTTATTTAAAGAAAAAAAAATTTATCCATTGTGAAAAATTGAATTTGGTATTTACCATGCATAAGTGCACTTACCTTAGAAAGGCTATCAAACATAGAACAATCATTGTATGGAGAATGAAGTGATTAAATGTAGTAAGCAAATAAATCCATTTGATTTCATCCATTGTATTTGTTCAGCGAACTATTAGAACCCACTCTGTTATACTAATTTCTAATTAATTTCAAATTTATACTAATTGCCATGCATTGATTTTCCTGTAAGTGAAGGGTAATAAATGCTCATTTTAACATTCATATGTGTTTGTAAATAATATATATGCTTTAAATCATATATTTTATTTTTTTAAATTATATAATTCAACTGATCTGCTCCGGTTACGTTCCCAGCTCCGGTTACGTTCCTAAGTAATATTTTTAAAACTTTTTTTTTAATTAAACAAATCAGAGTCGTGTGAATCAGAAATAACAGAATTATTCAATAGTATAAGGACTATTCTGTACTTTTTTCAAAAGTCTATACTTAAATATTGTAAAAAGTTATAATCGAAAAACCACCTTTCGGAGTAAAGTCCGACTGCGCCGATTTCAATAACTTCGTACCTGATCAGAACTGGGTTCCAACAGAATTCCTACAAACTCATGAATGAAATAGCCATTGCATGGAATACTTACTTTTGTCAAAATCAAAGTAGAACTCTAGTTAAAAATATATTGTGCTAAATTATTGCCATTTCTTAGTAAAATGTCGTTCTCCGGTACGTTGCCAAAATTATTCGATGGTACCCCGTGAGATAGCACCGTGACCAGATGTCTCATCATGTATCAAATGGAAATGAGGTCTTATTTTGTTTAGGGCAAATGTGAAAAATTAGTAAAAACCCGGGTAAGGCGTCTTACAAAAACTAATCGGTATTACACTGCACACTTAGAGCGCCTAACGGCTTATGCCGTTTACTAGTGACAAGGGTTCTTGGAGTTTTAGAAAAGCGCTTTTTTAAAACCACAATCGTGATTACACCTAATTCTTATTCCTTAAGGGACAGACTTATTTCCAAAAATCAGCATAAAATTCCATTAATAATCATCGCTGTCAAGTTCACTTACAGTGTCACTGTCCGATGATGGTGAATCTGAAAATCCTGCACCATCACTGTTCTCTTCGCTATTGCTCGGGATTGTAACCCGGCGATCACGTAATCCCCTTCTTGGGATATGTCTTCATGTCTATACATTCATATTTGTTTATGTTTCAATTAAAATACACCTCAAAAACGATAAACAAAGTCAAAATTTCGATATTATTTTTATTTTTCTGAAAATTCCTACTACGCATGCGCAAACTACAATGAACGAAAAACAAAATCTGAAAGTATAGGGGGAACACAAAGTTAGAGGCTGGAGATTCAAAAGTCGTAAAAAGTTGTAGAAAGTCGTATTTGGTCCCTTAACGGTTAAACCTGGTTAAAACCGAAGAAGCTTTTGTTAAACGCCATGTGTAATTCCAGCAACTGGATGGGAGTTTGGGCTGGAAGCTTTGACACCAAATGGGCACAAATTAAGCACCACCACAACCATTCGTTTATAAAATGAAAAAGCAAAAAGGATACTTGAACATCAAAGATCACTAATTTGTTACTCATAAAAACCTTAATGAATTTTGAAATGAAATCATAACATTGTTTAATATTACATATATCTCATGAATTTCAATTATAGGGACAACGTACATTAGAGTTGACAACGCACATTTCTGATTCTTTTAAATTACAATAAATACTTGAATATTTATTAATCTCCACACGTCCTAAATTGTGTAGTTTAGAGAAACATATTCTCATAAAGATAATCGGCACTCTTAGGCAACAGGGGAAAAAATGATCAAAGGAAATGTGAAAAAAACACGAAAAACCCAACATTTTCGAACCGAAATGTAATGGTATAGAACTTATGTTTTGATATCTGTATTATTGTTTACATCCAAAAACATCTCCCAAACACAAAATTAAAAATGAAATCTTTCAAGTATTCCCAAAATTAATTTTTGAAAACCTACATCTAATCTGCATCATATTTTTTGCTTTAAATCAGTTAATAGTGACACAGTACTTCTAAAGTGTACAACGGTATATTTTGTCACTGTACCTTGTCGATGGTTAGGCGTGGATAACATGCAGCTCATACTCTGAATGAAACATGGACTACAAAGGCCAGGAACTTTCATCTCAAAAATCAATCTTATCACAGATATTAGTATTGGTCGATGACATTAAAGGCAAAGGCTCCTCAGATGTACTTTTAATATACATGTAATGGTATAGAACTTATGTTTTGATATCTGTATTATTGTTTACATCCAAAAACATCCCCCACTGAGTAAACATATACGTTATATTTTATATAAAAAATGTAAATAACAGAAAGGAGGCACAAAATAAATAAACGCAGTATTAGTAACTTTATTTTATTAACTTGTATAACTAATAAAAAGGCTTCCCCAGTCTTGAATAAATTATTATGCCAATATCAGACAACAATACCTTCTTTCTGACTACCCTACGTCTATATTGGTCCACTTTCTCCAGCTGGTCAGGTCTCTGAAACAGATAAATTGGAATATTCGACTTAATTTGTGTCCTATTTTTCATGACTTCACATTTAGACTACGGATAAAAAGCCCAGCTTATAATTTTTCCTGTTTTCATTTTATTAGTGAAATATATACAGCGAGGGTGGTTCAAAAAATGGAGAGAGTCAAAGGCAGAAGAACAGTACACGAGTCACATGTGTAAAACAGACCCATGTTTACTGTTTCCTAAAATTGTCACCTTTTTTTCAGGTTTCCAATCCTGCAAGTAACCTTGCCATGAAAAAATGTACTAAGAATCAATATCATAATCTTCCATTATTGAGCCCTATCTTTATACACAACATCCTTTTTCAATCAACAGCTTTATTTTTTATTTTCATTATTAAATCTTTCTTTCATAAGTTTATTTGTTTTTTTGTGAGAAAAACTTGAAAACAAGAACAATGCACATTTAAATGTAGCATCCCGGTATTTTATTTCTTGTCAAAGAACTAATCATTATTGTTTGTTAAGTTTATCTTCTCTACTTAACCTCCCAATACTTTTTCATTATCTCTATGTCAGCTATGATGGATTTTTCTATTGACATCAAAAAGCATCAAAACTTTATCAGCAAATCTCTATTAGGAGACAATCAGAATTGACGTCACATTAAGCTCGATATAAATCAGGATAAATCTACGAAAAAAGATCGGGATCAATAGGGTGACCTCGGCATACTGAGGCAAGGAGTAGGATGTCTACACCCACTTGAGATACTGAAAACAAGCACCCACTTGAAACTCCATTTGTACCCACTTGAATGAGTATCAATATTTTAGTTGAATGTTTCAGTTTAGTAAAAATTGTAAAAATAGAATTTGCATCACCTGAGGCTACCAAAGAGAGCTCCAAATAACTCCAACTAGATAACGGCAACTCCGCGGAGTAGCAAATCCCAACGAACAAAATATCAATTACCGAATTCCAATCAATTATACTCATTACTTTGGTTGAAAATGAAAAAATTAGATTTTAGAATTGCGAATTCCTGCAAAGCAGCCATTTTGAATTTTTTGAGGTACAAATCTGAAAAATAATACCATAATTGTGATCTACTCCAAAATTCCTTCAATTTGAGTATAATATAGCCATACTTTGAAGGGTTCAAAAAATTATTGCGAAATCGTACATTAGACGGCCATTTTGAATTTTACGAGGCTCGAATCAGAAAAAAGATACAATATTTGCAATCTACTCTTAATTGCCTTTCATTTGAGTATAATAAAGCTATACTTCAGAAAGATCTAAAAATTAGCGAAAATTTCTGTTTTCCTGTACATGGCCCCTGGGGGTCAGGATGAAAAACACGGAATATATGTATATATATCTAGTTATAAACTTCAGGACATAAAAACAATAGCAAGGGTTTCATTAGCAGCAAGCAACAGGTGAAAATCAGTTCACCTGTTGTTTTAACAAAATCGCCTGTTGTTTTTACGGAATTTTCAACTGTTAATTTATGATTTCAATTTATATAGCCTGTTGTAAGAAATACTCAGCCAATTCTTTGCTCAAAAATACAATTACCTATTTGATAATTTTAGATTTCTCAAAAACCAATATGAAACAAGTGTTAATTGATGCACAGCGAGAATTCTTCCCTGAGGGTAGAAAACGTTTTTAATTATCGTTAAGGTTAATTACAGAATGTTCAGGAAATAAAAAATGAGACATTATGATTGCAAGCAATCTTACGGAGGCGTCTGTAGGTGTGTTTGACAGCTTAAAACGTTTCAAGCATGTTAAAAAAAGATTTGATCAAAATTCAAATTTTGGACATCTAAGGTCATTTATGAATTCCTGAGACTTTGTAGATGGTTTTTTTTTCAAAAAAGTTGAAAAAAGTTCTTTTTTTGACCTTCAATATCTCAAAATCTGGGAAAAAATTTCTCTAGACAGCAAATATCTATCACCAATAGTATGCTTACATCTATCTGTATATAAACTTGAAGCCAAATATATATTGACTAAGTCTTGAGAAACTTGGATAGCACAGTTTGTGACTTACTTTGATGACCTTGTCCTTTGATCTTGAAAAATTTACTTTTTCAGATCTCAGTAGGTCATTTGTAATACTCCTATTCGCGATAAGAGTTCAGGTGGTAATTTACATAAATATCTCCCATGATGCATCGCTTTGGAAGGGACAAATTTTCATTGGCTTGCTGAAGGAGTCGATTACTCTGAACGTTTCTCTGAACGTGATGTACTATGAAATAAAGGAAATATAAAAATTTAAAAAAACAACGTTTCTTAGCTTCTGATCTTCCATCAGCCTCCAAGCATAGTTATATGATCCAATCTATTCAATAATCAGAAAGATAATCGGAGATTCAAAGTTACATTATTTATATTTTTTCGATCTTTGATGGCGTCTGAGCAATTTCTGGGAAATCAGTGACGTCACTGGAATTGGACGGCATTTTCAACTACAGATTTCTTCGGATTTGGGGATTATAGTTCAAAAAGCCTTGTTATACCTTAATTACATACATACCTATCGTTTGTGCGAATGAAACTCAGTGTGGCAATGAAAATAGCACCCCTGTCACGTGTAATCCAATGGGAAACAACCCGGATGAAGACCAAGTTGTATCATACATGAGAAATCTTCAAACGGGAGGTAACTAAACTGAACTAAATTAAACATTATCGCGTCTTGGTATATTAAGCTGACCTAAATTTGAATCCAAAAATCAATTTGAACTGAACTGAAGCAAAAGTCTTACATTAATGAAATACTAATATCCTGAACTGTATGCAAAAATCCAGGCAAAAATATTAAAGTGTAATGTCAAACTTAAACAAAACTTTGATTTGACTTTGACCAATGATACATTTAATATGTTTGCAAAATAAAAAAAAATATTGTCAACAATGTGACCTCTAATAATGTCAAAAAAAATCAAGGAATCAAAAACTGAATTCTAATCTAATCATAAAGGACGATTCTCGGTTTGGAAAACAGTCTCATGGGCTAATAATTTTTTCATGAAAAATATAAAAATATTACCCAAATTAAACTATGAATATTCAAAAGAGGACATTTATCTCTACAAGATGTAAAAAGAACAAATTGGTCTGAAGCAGGTATAACCAGTGTTTTCAGTAGGCTTGTCCAAAATTGCGTCCCTTGGACGTAATGATTTTCAAAAAATGCGTCTCCCTTCAAAAAACTGCGTCCCTTGAAAAAATGTTCCCGGGAATTCAAAAGTCACGTTTTTACACTGGATGAAATAAATTGATGAAATTTTGTACCACTGCTTTTGCTATTTATCGGTCTGAATCAGCGTTCTTGCAAGTCTAGTATGTCATTGAATGATACAGATACCATCATAACTTATATTCTCCCATTTAAAACACCTTTTCCTTGCGAATTTCGAAACAATTTGCTATTGATTTTGCTTTAGCATGTTTAGTTTAGGGGCAATCTGCGCGAGGTTCAACTTTTTAGTTCAGTTTCTTGCGCATATGCAGTCTCAAATAATGATCACGTGATCACACTTGACCAATTGAAAATGGTTTGAATCAGGTCTTAAGCTACCGGCCAATCGTAGGACTCATACTGATTACTGCTCGGAAATCGAGTATTGTATAAATTTTTGTCCTATCACATGCCTCGTACTATTTCGATCAGAAATCAACTTCCGGGAAGGAAATTTCGAAAGAAAATTTTATTTCTTTTAGAAATAGAATTTTCTTCAATTATTTATTGGATTCTGACGAAATAAAGAGACTGAAGGTAAGATCTTTATCAAATCATTCATCCAAAGTTGATTGTATGAGTATGGCTTGCACTGCGTCCACAAAACGCAATCACTTTTTATTTCCGGGTCCATGGATTTTTCATTACGTTTTTGCAATACTTGGACGGCGTTATTGAAATAGCAGTATAACGCTCAATTAGACCGATTCAATAAAATACAAGTCTCGATTTGGGGAAAGAAGTTCATCAGTGTACTGCGCTAATGTTTTTTTGCGAAAAATCTAGAGATATTACCCAAATTAAATTATGACTATTCAAAAGAAGACATTCAAATCTATATTATGTAAAAAAATCAAATTTGTCCGAAGCAGGGATAATGCTCATTTAGATTGATGAACTTCGTTCTCCAAACCGAGAATCGTCCTTTTCATAATTCTCAGTCATGTAACAGTAGTCTAGTAGTCTATACCTGCAACATTTTAGCCACATGCCGAGCTGCCTGGACTTTAGCATTCACCTCCATACGATCCAGATCTGCAGCAGTTGACACATTCATACTGCTTTTGTACTAGTCCTTATTGCTCTCTGGTCCTTTCTGGAAATATGAAATGATCTGAGTTAAATGGCATATCATCTCCAATCATCATTTTTACTGGGACTTTACTTATTTTCTGCAAATATGTTATTTTTCCTTCTCAACGCTAGTGTTAAACAAGGTTAATTTATCAGTCATCCAGAGTGTTTTTTATTAGACTCCAGATTGAAAATCTGGAGTCTATTGCTTTTGCCAGTTTTCTTATTATTATTCTTTCAGAATCTTCCTCCTTGCAAGATTTCTCACCAACTAGAAGAGCTTACTTTAAGCTGCTTACATAATCAACTAGGGAATGTATCTGGGATGATGGAAAATTAGGTCAAATTTTTATCTAGGTCAAAGGTCAAGAACTAGGTCAAATTTAGGTCAAATCAACATTCTGTCAATTATCTACGTTGTTGTCTGTCGTTACTCCTTCATCTTTTTTTCAACATGTAGCTTAGAAAAAAACAAATTGAGCGTGTGCAATCCGTTTTTTGATTACTCTTAGTGATTTTGAGATATCGCGTCCGGAAAGTTTTTTAAACTAAAAAAGTTCTCCAAATTTAATATATGAGCTATGAAATAAGGGTAGAATTTTCTCAGGAATCCGAATCTGCAAACCAAATTTCGATCTGACTTATCGTTCGGAAGTTATGGCGTTTTGAAATTTCGAGAAAAATCAATCTGATGGTATCCTGATAGAAAGTCAAGGAAAAAAGGTTTTTTTGAAGTGTAAAATACGAGATATAGACTGAGTACAGCTTAAGATAATGAATTCCTATAAAAGAAGGGGACCTCAAAAGCTACCTAATTTCAATATTTGGACACTAAAATGCCTAGGTCAAAATCTAGGTCAAATTCATAGTTTTTCCTTATTTTTGCGATTCTGGCACTATACTTTTAGGATTTGCTTCAAAATTTTGTTAACAGGTAGAAAAGAGTGTGCTAATAGTGATAGCCTTTTGCCGTCAGAAAGTATTTTGACCCATTTTTGAGATTTGGCGTCCTAAAAGTGGGTCAAAATAAAAAAATCTCCAAATTTAATGTATGAGTTGTGAAATAAGGGTAGAATTTTTCCCAGGAATCTAAATCTGCAAACAAAATTTCGATTTGATTTCCGGTTCGGAAGTTATGATGTTTCGAAGTTTGAAAAAAAATCGATATGATGATATCGCTCTGTTAAATCTATGGAGCTCAAGAAAATTATGAATTGTAAATATACGAGATAAAGACTAGATACAAATAAAATAAATGAAAGCCTACAACAGACGAGGACCTCCGAAGCTCCTTTAATATAAAATTTGGACACTGAAAAGCCAAGGTCAAGAACTGGGTTAAATCTTACATTTCTAACATTCTGTCAATTATCTGGGTCACTATTCGTCATTATTCCTTTATCTTTTTTACATCACGTAGCTTAGGAACAGCCCTTTTATTAATGTCCTGTCTTTTTTTGATTACTCTTACTGATTTTGAGGAATGGCGTCCGGAAAGTAGGTCAACACAAAAAGGACGAGCATAGAATTTACTCAGGAATCTGAATCTGCAAACCAAATTTCAATTTGACTTTCGGTCAAAAATTCCTACTTACCTACCTACCTACATACCTACTCGGCTACCTACTTAGCTACCTACTTCTCAGCTACCTACTCAGCTAACTACTCAGCTACTTACTCAGCTACCTACTCAGCTGCTTACTCAGCTACTTACTCAGCTACTTACTCAATTACTTAATCATCTACTTACTGTAGATTGGGTTAATTTGGCGCCCGCTTTAATTTGGCGAATTTGGCGAAATTGAAAAATTCGCCAAAATTTAGAATGAATCCCTGGGAATTATCTAGGGTATTTCATCCAGTGTATTTAGGTCACTTCCGGTTTAGTTTTTTCCAAAAATACGAAAAAATATCTCTCATAAATTGGCTCAGAACTGGTCAGTCACTCATTAATACTCAGGGAAAAACTAGAAAGGAATAGCGCGAATAGTAGCAGCATCGATCGAGGTGCAAAATGTAAAGGATGATCTCACAAAAATGTACAAACATGGTGAATATCGCCAGTGGTCCTCAAAAGAAAAAATGAACATAGCTAAACATGCCCATTTACATGGTTATTCGTAAGTTTAACATTGCATTAACATTTTTTGCATATCCGCCAAATTAAATAGCCGCCAATATGCCAAAAATGCCAAATTAAGTAGCGCCAAATTAACCCAATCTACAGTACTCAGCTTGCTACTCAGTTACTTACTCAGCTACCTACTCAGCTACTTACTCAGCTACTTACTCAGCTACCTACTCAGCTAACTACTCAGCTACTTACTCAGCTACCTACTCAGCTGCTTACTCAGCTATTTACTCAATTACTTAATCATCTACTTATTCAGCTTGCTACTCAGTTACTTACTCAGCTACCTACTCAAGTAAATCAATCTGGAGTCTTAAATTGAACTTTGTTCAATTTACCAATCTAGTTAAAGTTTATTTGCATTTATTACATTTATAAAAGTCACTCTCATTCTCAAACTAACTCTTATTCTTAGTCCAAAAAAAAGTAATGAAAAAAATGATGTGGATTTCATTCATGTTTATGTTCATGTTTTTCAATTATCTCTAGCGCCTGCCTCATCACTTTTTATCATCCTTTTTGAAATATTCCTTTATCAATGATGAGTTGTAAATTAATTCAAATCATCAATTTTTTATTCAATTGTGCACAATTTCATCACTCATTACTTTTTTAACTGATTTGGAAATATTTTTTGCCTCCTCGCTTTCTTCTTCCTGGCTATGGTTCCTGACTATATTTTTGCTTCATGAAATGGGATATCTGTGTCTTCAAAACATAGAGAAAATGAAAATGCTAAATTTTTTGGGGATCCAGAATTCACAGTAAATGAAACTTATTTAGAATCCAGCATTCACAGTAAATGAAGCTTATTTGGAATCCAGAATTCACAGTAAATGAAGCTTTTTTGGAATCCAGAATTCACAGTAAATGAAGCTTATTTGGAATCCAGAATTCACAGTAAATGAAGCTTATTTGGAATCCAGAACTCACAGTAAATGAAGCTTATTTGAATCTTTTAAACATGTTTTTAACAAAAATTTGAACATGACTGTAATCACGCCTTCTATAAACTGTATTTATTAGTAGATGCAATACCTGATCTGTACTAAGTGTTTCGTTCAGTGCTATATTTCTACCGGAAATAAAATGGAGTGACGAATTTGCAAAATTTTGTGAGTTTTCATGTCCGAATCATAATGTAGACCTCAGATCAGGTATTTTATCGAATAATAAATACTTTAGGGTAAGGCACAAAAACTTTTGAACCCCTCACTCCTTTCAACACTTCGGGTACAGAAAACGTTTGTGCCTAGCCCTGCAGTATTTATTTGTTGATATAATACCTGCTCTTCAGTCCATATTACTTAAACAATAAACATATCATTCACGTTGTCCAACCCAAACGCTCTTACATGCACAACGGAGCGTTTCATCAATGAAATAAAATGGCGGCTAATGAAGATCCCAATATGACCGTAAATACTGTTTCACTCGTTCCTTTAACATATCATACATTATGGTGACAAATTATGTACCATTTGATGAACAATACCCTGAGCAAAGATCTTATTTATTCAACTTCTGATGGTAAATTGTTATTTGCTTGATCAAAGCTCCGTAGTGTAGATTGAACTAATCTGAAGTTGACGAATTGACCACAAATTACGAATTAAACTGGTATTTATATGAAAACGTCAATCTTTCTGTTAAAGTAGTAGATCACAAACTTGTATATTCTCATTTGCTAAAATCCCAATCCAAAACCATTACTTGTTCTCGAGAAATCGCTTGTTTTCCTTGAAACAGTCCATCAATTTTGGACACAATTTTAGAAACGCTCTTACCATTTTTTTAATATTATTTTCAGATTATTAGAGAAGAGTTTGGAATCGAATCTCTCTCTTAATAACGTGTTGTACTTGTTAGGCAAATTTAAACTTCCAAACTTGGTGGTGCTACACGTGCAACAAGCCGGCTTAAGCCTACATTAGATGATGTTATGAATATCACACCTATCGAATGGTATACTAGAAATAAATAATAACACATGCTTCTTATTCCCATTATTTGGAAAACCGTCAGATGGCTCGTCATTCCCACCCACCATTTCTCCTACTCTAGAGCATTTTTTTGTTTAGTTTCAGTAATGAAACACTCCATCCAAATATAATATTGAGACTATTTGCACCTCTTTGAGGAGGTCTCAGATATAGTTAGACCAAGTTGTCAGACACAAATTAACAAATTCTGAAGCAATTTTCAAGTAAACAAGTTCTTTAAATGTGTCTGGAACATGGCTTTAGGATATTTTAGAACATTGCATTGAACATCTCATGGGTGGTGTAGGTGTCATCTTAGCTCTATCTTGAAACCACATGATCATGGCCTAAGCAGCTCTAATGCTAAATCCCCCAAAATATTTTTGAGATCTCTGCCATAGGCAGCCACAAGTAGTTTGCTAAGATGGGAGATCTCAATCTATGGATCTGGTTTGCTCCTGTAATTTCACTTCACATTAATCAATTAGATTTATAGAATCTAACCTAAATTAACACATTATTATCTTTTAAAAAAATACTGACACATTATTTTATTTTTAATGTTCTCCACATCATGTCAAAAAGAGCTAAAATTGGCTAAAATTACGCAATCGTACAATGGTGTAATACACAAAATCAGGACATCAAATAACTCTTGGTAATGAATGGTTTGAATATGACACCATTATCTTTGACGTCAGACACATATTGCCCCATAAACAACTACATGTAAACAAACAAATAATCTAAATATCACTTAGCCATTCTAAATTCATTCACATAATTTGTGACATATTTACACATTACCGTTCTCTAATTGAGATTCTCTCCCAACCAATCAAAATGCAGCATAGACATTCCCTTATTCTCCATATATGAACGACTGTGCACCATGCACACCTGGAAATCTGAATTTCATTGTGTGACGTCATATCTAAGACTGTGTCTGGGGATGGCAAATGACGAATTGACGAGAGAATGTAACTTCATCTTTTATGTATGAATCAGAACAAATTACGATAGGCGCGATATCAATATTCAAAATTTCACACTCGTTGAACAGAATGTCAGTACAAATGTACTCAACCTTGGTTCGTGCTTTGTATGACATCCTGCAACTCATGCTGAATTTCACCTTTTTAAGGGCCTATCATTATTCACTGCTTAAACAAACATTTTACCTTTTAGAATCAGATATTGGCTTAAGACTTTCACTGTTTCAGTTTCACACCTCTGAAAAATAATGGAATATACAGTGTCACCAATATTCCATATTCCTTGTTAACAGGTGATTTTTCATAATTTGCTCCAAAAAAGTGTTCCTTGTTCCCTGTTCACAGGTTTTCCCTACAGAGAGGGTCCATCAACATGTAAGTCAATGGAAAATTATTCAGTTCTTTTGAAAAGCATTCCTTGTTCATAGGTTTTCCCTACAGAGAGGCATTCCATCGGACAGGTTTTACTGTATGTAGTTTTGTAGTTCAACAAGTTGAACCCAATATGGTTTTCATTATTAATCTGAATTTGTTCGATTCAATTTTTCTTCCTGAGAATACTGCCTTCACAGTCATGTTTGGTTGATTTCCCAATTGACGTATACACACTTCGCATGAAAATAATGAACGAACAGCATTTGATTTGTTCGGCTTTCATTTTTCAGTGTTTGTGTTTTATGTTCTTTCCTGAAATACTTTTGCTACACAATACTCAGGAAAAATACGTATTTGTGTGGCATATTGTCACGTAAAAAAACTTAAGTTTCTTCTGCAAATGTGTGACAAATATGCAAATTGCAGGACAGTTGGATAGCCTATCTCATGAAATTTATGAACTCAGATCCCCATCACCAGAAAAATAAAAAACTTTCAAATTGCAAAACACATATCTGATTTGTAAATTATGAATACTTGGTTTATTGAATATATATAGACATATAATAAAAATTCTAGCATCTAGCACGTAGTTCAGGTAATATATTACTTGCCCCATAGATCCCCGCCAGATTCTTTAGTAGTAGGATCAGTAGCTCAATAAATATTCCTCGAGATGAGACACCAAGAAGTGGGTCTTGCTTTTTAAAAATTAACCTTGAAGTGCGTCTATTTTTGAAAGAAAACCCCTACATGTGGGTCTATTATTAAAGAAAAAAATCCCTAAATGTTGGTAGATATTTTGAGTCTCAGTGGCACGTACCCCCCTGTACAAAAATTTGACCAGTACCCCTGTCACGGATAACCCCCCCCCCCCCCCCCGTCCCAGGTGAAGATCTCAGCTATAAATTAAGTGCAAATCTGTCACTGGGCAGCAGGTACCATTTTGTTATCTCGTTCCAAGACTATCTCTACGTTCTAAACAAGATAAACCATTTTGTATAAGGAATGTTTTGAAAGATGTTTTTAAATTTTCCAATTTGGTGTCATATCTTCTGAATTATTCTTTTAGCCTATGAGATTAGTGGTGGGACTCGTGTGAATTATCCTACTCATGTAGAGGCTCTTGAACACTCGATTTATTCGCGATTAAAATGACTGATTTTGGAAAAAAGTTTAGAAAAACTTTTTTTGGAAAGTTACAAACTTTCACTTCTGGTAGCTATGTTTTAAAGTGTTCTCAGCTCAACCTACCTTGAATAACTCCAACATACTCATCAAATTATTCAAATAGAATAACTCAATACACTTTATATGTTCTTGTTTTGCATTGAAAAGTAAAAAGTTTAGCCATTTACGCCAATTGGTTTGACCTACTTAAACATTGCATTGCACATGCGCAACCGGATGTAATAAATAAAAACAAACACGAGAAAGCTTATTGTATTTGATTTATTATTCCAAACTTAAGGTCTCAAACTATAATGCTACATATTAAGGAAGGTATCATTGCTCAACATTGTACAGAAATGTTGTATATTGGATGTGTTTTTTACGTAAATTGCGGTTGAAAGGTGGGTAAATCACATTTTCTTCATAATTTTTTTCAATTTGAGTCAGAATTTACCAATCGATGAATCGTATTTACAGGGTTTGGCGTGTTGTATTCGAGTCCACGAGTCAATTGTTGCTACACTACATGAGATGCTACTAAAAAACGATCTGGCCAACATCTGTGGCTTCACGGTAGATTATTTGTGCTTGAGGAATGAGGATACGATTTTGCGCTGAGCGATTTTCTAATAAAAACATTGAATTTTCATTTTCTTGTTTTATTTTGAGAAACCTAACCTCCAATTCTGTGATTTCCATGCAATTAGGACCTTACTAAGGATCGTGATATCAATACGTACGAGAATGCATTGTTTTCTTTCACGATATATTACGCATTCAACATATTTGATATATAAATCGTGTAAATAAGTAAAAAAGTATATTATTTACCTTTTTCAGGAAAATAGACTTCCGGAATAATTTGAACACTGAACGAAACGTTCGTTAAAATGCTCTTATCCCCGGGGATTGTATACCTATGTCTCGGCATATGCAGACCCAATACTGTAATTAGCATAGGCCAAGGGAAAAGTAATAGTAAGCTGTATATAAAAGAGACAGGTCCACAAGTAAGATTGAAAAATTTTCAAATTTTTTTAGTCTTGGCACTAGTTCTCCTTACTGGTATCAAATTGTATTCCCAAATCTCTCCAAAATCTTCTTCAAAGTGTTTTTCAAACTTATATCATTGTTTTTTTCAAATCTTTATCTAAAAACAGCATATAATACTGCATATAAAACAACAACTATGGATACCTGCAATTGCCTGGCAAGCTGAAACTGATTGTCACTGGTGGAGGTCAGGGAGGTCAGCAGTGACCAATCAGATCACTTGTTTACTAATGAACTTGTAGGTTTTCAGAAATTCTCTCTTTTAGACAGAATTATTCACTCTATATCATCTGACCGAGTTTCAATCTTAGGTAAGAGCTACAAACTATCAATTTTCTGTATCTATCAACTCCCCATGGCTTTTTGAAAATAATACACTAAATATTGTTGAAATCTCCATCTTAACAAGTGGTCTAAGTCAGAGTTGTTCACCTGTCTCTTCTATATACGGCTTACTATTGTATGTATGTATATATTTATTGCCCTTTATATAAAGGAGATACATGTATACAATTTATGTTAAATTGAAAATAATCACTATTTACAAACAAACAATGTCGTTGCTTTTTAAGGTGCTATGGAAGTTAACAGAAAATGACGAAACAGGAAGTGACAATTTTTTTTGCATTTTTAGATATTTTTTGAATAAAGATAACAGAGTTTTGGTTTGACCTCCAGTCAATTTAACTATTTCCACATATCATTTACATGACCAGGATCACAATGTGCATGGTCAGAATGACCCTAAACATGATGAAATAACCTTTTTAGCCCTTTGAAAGTGTGACTGAAAAAAAGCTAAAAGTAGGAGCGTAGGGATAGTCACTGAACAGAATCTTTTGAATTTTTCAGAAAATGTGCCCAATATAATGCTCTAACTAGTACAATCTTTGAAATTTTAGAAAATTGTCCTAAACAAAAATGGCGGTCATAAAAAGGAAAATGGATCGCTTTTCAAATCAGTTTTTTCATTTTTTTTCTTTTTCTATGAATGATATCAAATTTTCAAAGATTGTATCATTTAAAGCAATATATTGGGCACATTTTCTGAAAAATTCAAAAGATTCTGTTCAGTGACCTTCCCTACGCTCCTACTTTTAGCTTTTTTTCAGTCACACTTTCAAAGGGCTAAAAAGGTTATTTCATCATGTTTAGGGTCATTCTGACCATGCACATTGTGATCCTGGTCATGTAAATGATATGTGGAAATAGTTAAATTGACTGGAGGTCAAACCAGAACTCTGTTATCTTTATTCAAAAAATATCTAAAAATGCAAAAAAAATTGTCACTTCCTGTTTTGTCATTTCCTGTTAACTTCCATAGCACCTTAACTGACGACGACGCCTAGCTACCGCGTAGACGCACGCCGCAGACCAAGATTGGCCTAGCACCTAATTGTAACGCAATATTAAGTAACTATATTTTCAAACGCTCATTGCTTTCAGGGCCGTCAGATGGGGGGGGGGGTGCGATGGGTGCGACCGCACCCCCCTTTGTCAACCCCCAAAATAAATTTGAAAAATTTTTTTTTTTTGAAAAATATTTTTTTTGTAATTTTTTTTTCATTGACTCATACACTTTGAAAGTACCCAGAAAGCACCAAATAGCATCTTAAAATTGTAAATTTTTTCTAGGGGTATTGGCCACCCCTCACACCCCCCACAAAACAATGGAAAAGTTCTAAATTTATTTTAGAGTTTTGTCTCAGACACTTTTAAAGTGCCCAGATATCATCAAATAGCTCCTTGATATAGTTATTGTTTCTGGGGGATTTACTCCCCCTCTTGCATCTTGCACTTGCATAACCTCCCCCCCCCTCTGGCGCCCCCCCCCCCGCCCCGCTTGACCCCCCCCCCCCCAAAAAAAAGAAATTGTGATTTTCTCAAATTCTTTAATTGACTCATACACTTTGAAAGTGCCCAGAAAGCACCAAATAGCGTCATAAAATTGTAAAATTTTCTAGGGGGAGTGGGCCACCCTTCACACCCCAAACAATGGAAAAGTTCTGATTTTTTTTATGTATTGTCTCAGACACTTTTAAATTGCCCAGACATCATCAAATAGCTCCTTGATAAAGTTAATGATTCTGGAAGACTAACACTTACTGGCCCTCTGGCATCCCCACTCAACCTCCCCCTCTGGCAGCCCCCCTTCCTTAACATCCCCCCCCAAAATGGAGATTTTCAAATTTTTTTTTATTGATTCATACCCTTTGAAAGTGCCCAGAAAGCACCAAATAGCATCTTAAAATTGTAAAATTTTCTTGGGAAATAGGCACTTTTAGGCACAGACACTTTTAAAGTGCCCAAACTTCATCGAATAGCACCTTGATATTGTAAATTTTGTTATTGGGGACAAACACTTGCTCCCCCTCTGGCACCCCAGCCCCACCTCCCCCTCTGGCACCCCCCACCCCCCCCCCCCCCCCCTTTGACACTCTCAAAATTTGAAAAAATTGTGATTGTTTTTCAATGTTTTTATTGACTAATACACTTTAAAAGTGCCCAGAAGCACCAAATATCATCTTTAAATTGTAAAATTTTCTAGGAGAGTTAGCCATCCCTCACATCCCCCACAAAACAAAAGAAAATATTCGGAATTTCATGTATTGTCTCAGACATTTTTTAAGTGCCCAGACATCATCAAATAGCACCTTGATATTATGGTCAATGTTTCTGGGGGACAACCCCTTGCTCACCTACTGGCACCCCATCCCACTTCACCCTCTCATCCTCTTTGACACCCCCAAAAGAATTTGAAAAAAATTCACATTTTTCTTATTGACTCATAACGCACAGGCGTACCAGATGGTTGCAAATTCGCTCCAAATACAACCAAATTTCAAAATTTTCCTGGAGGAGAACCCCCAGACCCCCCCCTGAATGCTTGGTTTTTTATTCACTCAATTCTTATTCCCTTGGTGGTGGCGTACTACTTAGAAACTTACACTTTGAAAGCACCAAATAGCATCTCAAAACTGTAAAATTTTCTAGGGGGAGTGGACCACTCCTCACCCCCCCACAAAACAATTGGAAGTTGCATGCATTTGTTAATTCCAAACCAATATAGGGAGTAACTGACCCCCCCCCCCCCCCCTCTGTCTTACGCGATTTGATTTACGCGGCAAAAAAATGACAATTTTATATTCTCTTTAGTGAGCTAAAAACCGCACCCCCCTTGGAGAAAAGTGTCTTACGGGCCTGGCTTTGTTATTTGTTTTGGTTTTTTTTGAACCGACAACGACGCCTAGCTACCGCGTAGACGAACGCCGTAGGCCTAAATAGACCTGTACCTAACACTCTTGAGATTAATCAAAAAATGACATTATGGAGCTGCATTTTCTATAAAATTAAAAAGAAGACATAGCATATCATCGTACCTTCCCCAAGGTCGGTACTGTAGTACTGTATGAAAGTATGAGATCCTTTCAATATGTTGTAGGCTAGTAAAATAAATATACAATTTATGTTAATTAAAGGTTGGTGGTGTTGCTATATGGTGCAATTCTAAATTAGTATGTATAGTAAATGTACATAAATATAAATACAAATATGCGAGTAAAACCAAAAATGTACAGGCTGCTTAAGAGACACAATCGTTTGTTGCAAAAACGTCAGGCTGCCGCGTTGACGTTGCAACTACCAATCAACAAAAAGAGCAAGAAAGCATTGCTTATCATTGTACCTTCCCCAAGCTTGGTACTGTTCATCCATAATAGTTAGATATTAATTATATTTCAGAGAGAGAGGATAGTCCCCTAGTCGGCCCATGTACCTCCCTTGAGGGCCACCCTCCTCCACTGAATGAAGTTACATTAAGTGTATACGTTTGTTAGATTTCGCTGACGGCACGTATATTGTTGCATGACTATACATGCAATATCTTTTAGACACTCAAGTGCTTGTTCGTTTGTAAAATGCCATTCTTCCGTACCAATGCCAAGGAGGTTTTTAACATTCATTTGGATATCCCATTCATAACAATGAGTATTAAGTTGTTCTCTGAATATGACATATTCATTTGAAGGGCATTTAAGTAAAAAATGCTCCACATCTTCTTTTTCGTAGGTGTCGCACAATAAACATGACAGTGATTTATTCTCGCTACCCCTATAATTGGAGTTAAGCGAATGTTCATCCATAAGTAGTTTCACCATTATTTTGCACCCATTAAAAGCAACAGGAAAACGTCTTGCAACATCCCACCATATAACTGGCCTCAGTACCTCGAAATTACCCATTCTAAAATAGCCTAGTCCCTTGTACATGATCGATTTAAAGAATGTCGCTTGCATTTGAACCTTTGTTATTTGAGTGAACACAATGTTCTTCCACCTACTTTTGGGAATAATAGTGTTACAGTATAGCATATTTAAAATATGGTTATTCAAGTTGTATTTTCGTGATGTTTGTAGCATGCGCTCGATTGGCGAAAAAGTACAACTTCCCCTATTAATATGCAACATTTTTACAAATCTTGTGATGAACAGACATTTATATATGTTTGCGCTAGGGAGTTGCAATAAACTCCAAAGAAACATCATCCTTAGGAAGGCAATATAATATTCAACATCCATGAGGCCGATGGGTAAAGTCGAAACGGGGATACTAGCTGAGTGAGGTAGAGACTGGATTCTACGCCCTATTTCTCTCTGTGTTTTCTCTAAAACATCTATGTCTTTCTGTTGGTAGTTAATAATTTGAGCACCGTATGTCATTGTAGGAATGGAGTACGTTTTGTATATTTGACATGCGGATGTTGGGACTAGGCCTCCACAACCACTTCCAATACCGAGAAGCGCATTGTATTGTAATTTGCCCTTCTTGCATTTATCTTGTACATAATCAGAGATATTGTTATTTGTTGAAATTGGAATTCCAACATGTTTTACATAGTCAGATTTTACGATTGATTTGCCTCCGATCTTAAGTTTCTGAGTGGCACCTAATTCAATTTTGCTATTAAAGACAAGAAATAAACATTTATCTGGATGGACTTCATATCGCCACTGATTACTGTGCGCATAGAGTTGATCTAGTAGTGATTGCATATTTTCGAAGGAGTTGGATAAGATGCACATATCATCAGCATATGATGGACTTACACAGCTCAAGGAGCCTACATTGGCTCCCTTGTTACCTTTAATCATGGAATCGATTATATCAGCCATGTAGAGTTGGTAGAAGAGCATGGACAAGACACCGCCTTGATGTACACCTTGTAAAACTGGAAACAAGTCAGAACATTTCCCACCCACCAAAACTGAACAACAATAGCGTTTGTACAACATGTATAAAATTTTCCATATTATACCTTGAATTCCACAGTTATAGAGTTCGACGAGAAGACCATCTATCCATACGGAATCAAAGGCTTTTCGGATATCTGTTACTGTTACCACAACCATTTTACCCTGTTCTACATTTTCAGAAATAGTTTCTTGTACAAGAAGTGATGTATGAATGGACGAGCATTTTTCGACTGCTGCCCCTTGTAATTTTGGAATAGCTTTTAGAACAGGTGCATTTATTTGGACTAAAATAATATTGTCAAACAATTTCCGTAGCATTGTCATCAGCGTGATACCCCTAGAGTTGTCCTTAACGAGTGGATCTTTACCATTTTTTACGAGAGGAATCATTGTATCAATACAGAAGTTATTTGGAATATATGCTGACTGGAGTATTATATTGTAGATAATCGCAATTGTTTGGACCATGTCAACCCCTCCGAATTTCAAATGTTCCGCGCTGATTTGATCATAACCACATGCACGCTTAGAATTCAGAGCTTAAACGTAGGTTTATCTAATGGGGTTGCAAGTTTTTCGAAATGATATTTCCACTGTTCTCTGATCTCATTTGCGTCAGTAATCAGATGACCATCATCAGCGAGTATTGGATTTACAGATTTCTTTGATGATCTACGGTGTTTGTTAACCAGATACCAATAAAAACGTTGATCAGAATGTTCAGATTTATACAATTTTTCAAGTTCATCCTTTTCGTATTCTAATTGTGCAGCTTGATAAGCTTTAGAAAATATTTTCTTGGATTCTTTATATTCGATTCGCACCGGATCTGTAACATCGCGGGGTCTTCCCTGAGATACCCATGTGTGCCATTTTGTCTTTTTGTCTTTAGCCAAAGACGTTAACGTGGGGTTCCAGAAAGGCTTCACATATTTTAGGAATTTCTTCTTTGGTATATGATTGTTTGACGACAACAATAAACTGTCAATTAGTTTATTAATAAAGAGGTCGATTTCTGCTTCATTTAAAGACCGATTAGAAAGAATAGCATTCAATTCAATTAAAATCTCATTACATTTTATTGAGACAGAGTTTGTGTAAGACTCATTGATTTCATCAATTGTAAGTTTATCCCATGAAAAACCTCTTGGAGCTTGAATATCAGGACATCGTTCGATCTGAGTATTTAAATTTAATGCTGTATGAATGGGAAGATGATCCGATGTGTTATCTGGTTCATCCTCAGAGATAGAACATGATACGACAGTGTTGCGCAGAGAGTATGATATAATTACATGGTCAATATAACTAACATGGAGGACGTTGTTTCTAGCCATTTCAAAAGTGTGTTTTGGACCAGTTGTCAGGTCTGTCATGTCGACAGCGGTTAAGATATTTCTTTGCATAAACTCATATAACTTATATCCATTACTAGAGGGGGTGCCATGACCTCTGCACCCCGTAAGTTGACTATTACTTTACCCTTGGCCTATGCTAATTAGTGAAAACTCAAATCGTATTGATTAATATTTATAAAATATTTTGATGTCAAACTGAAATGTAACTTTTTATCATGAATGATGCCACCAAACCAATGTAGTTAAATGTAGTGAGCTATTAACTCACTACATTAACGACATTGGTTTGGTGCATAGTCAGCACCATCTATCTAATATCTAACATAACATAATGAAATCCGGTAACTTAGAAAAAAAGAAAATTCTAAATAATTTTTTTCTCATGCCAGGGGCTTTGATCAGTGATATTTTATGTTTATTCAACTTCCATATTTTTGTAACTTGTCAGAAAATTTTTCTTTTACATTTCTCGGCGATCTATAAATATATATGAGGTCATGTCCATGCGTGGAGTTTTGGCCAAAAAAAAGTAAGATCGAAATTTGTGCTTAAAGCTAAATATCTGTGATTTGCAAGTGATTCTGACCATGTTTTAAGTATCAAAATAATGCTTGGAGTATTGAGTGACTCAACTGAAGTTAAAAATAAGGTGATGAAATGAACACAAACTCAGTGATTATGACCAAACAAAAACGGTGGCATAATTCATGATAAAAAGTTACATTTCAGTTTGACATCAAAATATCTGATTAATATTAATCAAGTATGAATAGACACTAGCTACACGAACAGTACATCTATACGTAAAAATCCTAACATGTTAACATGATTCAATTTATGTACATTAGACTCCATAAAATCATAAACTTTTCTTCCAAATGCTGTCCAAATGTGATCTTAACATTTTCACCTAATTGTTGGTAAATAGCCTTCGTTCCAGCTTTTTCAAATAGGTTTGATGCAAACTTGTAACAACAGAACTTCTTGCCATAGTCCTATTATTTGTACGAAACATTGTCGCCCATACCGCCATGCATTGTCGCCTATACCCATGCAAATGGGGTACTGAGACACACTGCTTCTTTATTCGGTACATTAAGCTAATATTCCATAAATACCAAATGTAACAAACAATTTACCAAACCTTTACCCAATCTATCGAATGTTTTTTTATTTTATCAAATGTAATAATCTATACAATTTATATTCGCTAAATAGTTTCACTTGTTCTTTGTATTGACAATTCACATTTGATATTTATACATGTATTTGTGTGATGCAGCGAATTTGTTTTCCTTAACGCACGTATAATTCAATTGATTATTTGTACATTCGGTATATAAATTATTTATATTCGGTAAATACCGAATGCCACATTCGATAAATTTCGTTATTTTTCGATAATTTACGAGACTTTCAGTCACGTGATATATTTGTACTATGTAGACAGGAGGAGTGAGTAGCTCCCATAATTCTTTCATATTCTATCGTATTCGGGGATTCCCCATTACATCATCTCTTGCATCATCTCCAATCAAATTGCAGGATTCGATCACGTGAACAATCATGAGCACGTGCTCTCTCAGTGCTGCGCATGCGCAGAGTTAAATTTGAAATCCTGGGAATGGCGTTAACATCAGTTCAACATCATCATTTCAAACCTACGGTAATACTATTGAAGTTACTCGATCCATACTTGTAGAGAATACTCATAAAACTACAGTGAACATTTGGAGATCCATTTCAATGGCAATTTGAGGCCTGTTTATAAAATTTGTTTTCGAACGTGCTAATATGATAGGGCATCTTTGGGAAATCTCCCCCCCCCCCTGTATGTAGAATAGCTGCGCGGCCATTTTGCAAATCTCGAAGTCACGTGACAAAATATCGAACAACAACGCAAGTTATCGAATATTACTTTATTGCATTCGGTAAATAGCAAATTAGCTTTCGGTAAAATGCATCAACTATGTCATAGAAAAATAAACCATTTGGTAAATACAGGCAAACTTATTTCGGTAGGGTTCAAATAGAAGTTCAATATTGTGCATATAATGTGTTACTCTTAAGGAATACCATAACAATTTACGCAAAAAATATCATTTAACGAATGAAATATGTAATTTAATGCACATAGTATTAAGTGATTGGCTATTTTGAAAACTTAATTTGCTGTAACAAACAAATAAACGTTTTTACCGAATGGAAAAATGATTTAGCGAATAAAATATTTCATATATCGAATATATTTTAATTTAATGAATAAAGAAGAAAAAATAATGCCATACACCACCACTTAATTTACAAAATGTTGTCTACTATAAAAATGAGACAGTCAAAAGCTATATTTTTTAACAGGTTTTTAAATTGCCTACTCAGAAATATATAATTTCCTATGTATTGTATGTGGCATTCTGATACTCATAGCATCTTTCTGTTTCACCTGAAACATCTTAGGGCTGAGAAGAAATGAGATGTCATGGTTTATCATGATGTGTATGTGGGAGCCCAGGGTCAGATTTATTTAACACTCTTGGCATTTAGAGGGTTTGGGTTGCCAATGGGAAGACCGGGTGATCGAACCTCCATCCATTTATGTTTTGCGGTTGCAAGAAAATGTCCCCTTCGCTTGAGAAGATTTAATAACCATATTTAGATACTGGGCACATATGAATGGGCTGTTTCAGAGGAGTCGTAGGCTCTCCCTCCACAGACAATTCTAGCATTTAACATAATGATTTATGGGAACTTTTTAGAGCCAGAATCCCTTTGTGATTGGAATAGTGTGGCCGTCTTTCCGAAACCTACTCAAAGATAAACTCACCCCACTCCCTTCTACTCCATTTAAATCGATAATGCACTACATGCATAATTCTTGTAAAAACTAAGAGTAACACACTTGGCAGAAAAATATCATTATGTTATATTAGATAAATGGTCTGTCATGATTGGTCCGGAGATCCTGACGTCAAATACGAGGGAGGCAAACCTTCTGCTATATCTGAAGAGAATGTCCGTTAGAAATTAGTCTGCAAGTTTACACATCACTAGAACATTAGAAGGTAAGTCGACTCTTGTAGAACTTTCAATATTCATGAAACATTTCTTTAGAATTGCTAACACACTGATAAATACACCAGGTAATATTCAATGTTTATGCAAAATAGGTAGACGGATAGGCATGTTATATCATATGCTATGACTGTAGTATGATGTTTATTATATTATCAGATTTTAGCATACGATTCTAAGATTGTCACATACGCACATGTTGCATTTTGATGCCAATGAGTGCCAGAGGCTTCGCACGTGAAGCTCTCTTTTAGAGTTGCAAAACCAAACTGTTGCAAATGGTATCATTTTGATATCATTTATTTTATAAAATTGATGCCATTTCCATTTTAGTTATTTTAAAGTAGATATCATTTGCGTTCTTGCATTTTTTTGGCCTCAAAATTAAATGTTCGTTTAGGACATTCCGAAACACTCGAGGTAAAACCTGCCATTTGGATTTTTTACTTTTCGTTCTTTTTTGCAATTTTAAAAGAAATGAAACAAAATAAAAACGATTTCCTTCTTCAGAATGAACTGCAAAACAAAGAAAAAACAATCTATGTTTGAATTCTGGTAATAAGTTAGGCCTAATGTGACTTTTATTGACGCCTTTACTATGTAGTGGAAAAAGTAGACTTACACAGTTAGTGCTAGCGAGACGAGACTACAATCGTCGTAATTTAGTGGGCCAGCACATCATAGTAAAATAAAGTATTTCTATCTTGTTTAAGGGAACCAAGCATCAATACCTACACTTAGTTGGGTACACGAGAACTGCGTTTTCCTAAATTCTGTTCAAGATAATCTGTTGACAAAAGGGGAAATCCGAAAGTGGGCCTATTTCAAAAATAGGTCTCTTTTTAGAATATGATCCTCAGTTGGAAAATGGACTTATATTTTCAAATGTAGTGACCCCCTCTCAAATCCTTGTTCATTATTTTAGTAAGCTAAATTATATCAATTGAAACCATGTCAGATGAAGAAAATAATAAGTGATTGATGGAGAGTGATTTTTCAATTGATCTTGTGCAATGTACGTATTAGTTACATCCTATATATTTGATCAAATCGGAAGTAGTCAAAAGCTATAAGTAAGGAATTAGGCAAGACAATGTTATTTCTGTCACTGTATAGTACTTTGTAATCTAATCTCCGAATGAATATATCAGTCTCCTGGGATTAGTACATGTATGTAATGTATTGTAATTACATGTATGTATTGTAATCTAACCTAGTGTATTATTGTATTGTAAAATGTTTAAAAAGTGAGAAATGTCCCTTCTTTGGCTCGAAATAAAACAAATCTAATCATTAACATTGATCAAAATAAATCTTGAATCAATAATTGAATGACAGACGGTGGGCTGCATTGTTAGCATTCATTAACAGATTCGAACTGTTTCTATTTATCAATACAACTTCGCCTTTTCACTGTTCCACAACGAATTATTGAACTGCCAGTTAGGTAAAAAAATTGTTTTTCAATTTAAAGCTAAACATAGTCGGATTTAAGGCTTAAGGTAAGTCTGCGTATTCGGAATTTTTCTGCATCCCTCAATTGAGTCACATGTTATTTCTCAAATAGGAATTTCTCCTTGTGCACTAATGAACATAGAAAAGACTGGTGAGAAGATTTGTTTTGTAAAATGTATAAAAAACGAGAAAATTCAATGACAGAAGGTAACTGAATTTTCCTCGTTACAGCAAAAGTCATTGAATTTTCTCACTGAATTTTCCTCGTTTTTTATACATTTTACAAAAAATCGTCATTATAGTCTTTTCTAGGCACATAAGTGCATTGTGCAAATCTGAAAGATGTAGACAATGTGGAGAAGGAGTGATTCCTATTTCAAAAATAACATGCGACTCAGCTGAGGATTGCAGCGAAATCCCGATAGGAATATACTTTCTTTTAGGAATTTGGTTTTTAAAAAGCCGCAATTCATACATTTTGTCCTTCGCCTTTTGTTCATATTGAGGAAAGTTAAGCATGTTATCAATTTTACTTTGACGATGACAAGCATGAGATTAAATGTATGAATTGCGTCTTCAATTAAACCAAGTTTCCAACCGCGAGTTTATTCTTAAACCAGGTTATATTCTCTGAATGACACAGTTTATAATCTGCAGCTTGATAATAAGTAAACCGAAAAAACAAAAAATCTTACCGAAATCGAACACAGGCAGACACCCTCCGATGGAACAGGCACACGGTGACCCACATATGTAAATACCTTGCTAATTGTAATTGAATAAACAGAATCATAGACATTTATGGCAGAATGGATAGTCCATAGATATCGGTCTTTGTGCGATTAAATGTGAAATAGAATTCTAGGCTGCGGTGTGCAAAAGAGATATCATACCAATGCTTCCTAGCAACTCGTACCCAAGACAACTGTACCCAATACAACTCGCACCCAAGTTTATTGTCAGTGTTATGGGTTTATATTAGGAAAACAAGTCTGTATAATAATGTTTTAATGTGAATCATATAAGCCTCAAAATTTCTTTTTAATTTTGAAGACATTTTTTCTCAATGGATTAAGCATTTAGCATTTTGTTTTAACTTGGATTACCTTTTTATGTAAAAGAAGTGATTTGGAGGGCTCAAAATGTCACAAAATTAAATCTATTTCTTCCGAAAAGTCTTAGATACATACTTCAAACTGAACAGTATGTAACATTATAATATGTTATCTATACCAATTCCCAGTCCAACACTTGATTCAAAACAAAACATATACTTTGGTACAAGTTGTCTTGGGTACGAGTTGTCTTGGGTACGACTTGTCTTGGGTACGAGTTGACCAGAATGATACTGATTTTAGAGTACATGATTTATTTTTCTGAGAGACAATCGTTTGTGTGCTTCAATGATCATTTCCGATATTTCCCTCATACTTTGACGTGTTTGAAGATCATTAAACAGGTTTGTAAAATGATGTATGTACAGGCAGGGGCCACGATAATAAGTTACGTTACGTATTATCCTACAGTTGGTTCACAATATTGAGATACTATCTAGTAACTTATCTCTTAGCCAAAGTAAAATATTTGCCCTCTCAACCAGTTAAAATATTGTTTTTGAATAGCCATGGGCTGAACACGAACAAGGAACATAACAAATTGAAACCCATCTGGCTCAGAAGACAACACGAAGTTCAAGACATGCACGATATTCTCCGCAGACTCCCCAAAGAGCAGGGGTGGACAACAAGTGCAATCTCGAGTAACTGAATCACGCGAGTGAAAAACAAACATGATTGACTGACCAAGAGCCTTATCCTTCAGGAGACAGGTCAATGGTTTTAATAGAGACGGACGCACAAATTCACATCAGGCACAAGGCTGGTCAAACCCCTTTACTGTCCACTTATCGCGAATCAGTTAGACTCAGAGAGAAGTTCAGCTAACACAATAGTAGGACTTCACTATAATAATCCTTTTGTTCGAAGACAATTTCTTAAGTAGTGCATTGATTTTCATCCAACTATCTCATGTATTCATTGAGTTTCTTTAAGTGACTAATTATCCCGTATTTGATCATCTTGTCAGCTTTTAACGCTGATTACATCTAAAACATTATTCAGATTATATTAACCTATAGGAATTGAAACGTTGGTCGTTCTTTTCCAACAGTGCAAAAATCCTGATGATGATAGAATTTTTACTCAAATGTCAATTTGATATACATTACTGAATGTGATAAAGTAGTTAATTCAATAACGTCAGCCATCAAGGTATTTCTGTACGAATGAAGAATAATCTGTGCTATAGTTCACAGGTTTTGCACAAAAGTTGTTCTCCAAACACACACGTTTTCTATTTGTGCACCAAAATTCTTGAATTCATATGTATAAGATTAAAAATGTGTGAAATGTGTCAAATTACTACCGGTATATTTTCTTGATTTTGTCATTTGTTTGTGACTCAATTTGATTTTCAATTATTCATAGCCATCAATTGATGATCAGATGATACATCAAGTGGTGACAACGGGTGACAACGTCGTTTAACTCTTTCCCGAACTCTCTCCCATTATCAGGAGAATCTCAGTCAGGATTACGAAACCCTCCTCCGTGTTTTTGCAGTTTTCTATATTCTCGTTCCCTCATTAAAGACAAGGGAGGAGATCACAATATTGCAATAACATCGATGGTACTCTCTGAGCCTTTGAACGTAAATCAGCAATTTTTCCACCATAGGAAGTGTGTTTTATCAGATAGTGGGGTCTGTTGTGCCTGTTATCTTTTCATTATTATTTAAAAGCCTTTCATAAGTTTTATTATAATTGGATCGGGTCAATGAAAACGATACTAAGAATATAACTCATGTTTAATTATTTAAAAACATACAGGAATTATCGTGCTATAGAAGAATATTAGATTTTCCGCATCAGGAGATAACCTTCCAGACTATGCCTGTACAACCAATTTCAAATCCAAAATTATGACGAACCAAAACGAAAGGAATTGCAAGATTTGTTTGCCATAAAGTCCTGAATTTAATATTTGTTATTTCTCTCATAATTGAATCACATGGGCATTAGTTTGTAATTTCATTCAATAACAGGGCTACCCTTTGCATTTGTTCGACTTCGCTTCTACAAGAGAGATTCGTTTATTCTAAAGACTCTGCACGCAGGGTATAACAGGGCCACTATTTGTTTTGTTTTATTTGTTATTTTTTATTTGTGGGATCTCCTTTTGAAAGTTCAAAAGTGTATCATTCTGATACTCATCTCATCCTAATGTTTTTCAATTAGAAATATGAACTAATAAGGCCATGATTTCTCATGATGCGTGATGATATGGTCAAGTTAACTAAAAAGTATAACGTTACCTGTTACAATGGGCTTTCAACTAATTGAAAGCCCGTGCTGTTACTTATGATCGCTGCTTGTTTATAAAAAACTAAATTTACAGAAAATCTGCTACCTATACGTCGTATAGCCTTTCATTGTAAGAGAAGACAGATGATCTAGAAAAAACGCCGTGGAAGACATGTTCATCTTTATTTTTATTTTCTGATAGGACCATGGTTGTATGAACGTTTTACTTGAACGAATTTGGGTTTTGCTTGTGAATCGCCTTGCTTTGTGTAAATAGTTTTTGTTAATATTATATCCACAGGGGGAGTTATAATTGTGAAGTCTATTAGCCCATGCCAGAAGAAACAATCTACATCCACCTAAGATGAGTTGTGGTTAGTTCTGTAAGTGCACATATAGGTAACTTGCACTTCACTGCCTACGTAAATGCACAGGATGAAGAAAAGATATCACGATCAAAGAAATGACCATGAAGACGTTCCTTACTAAGAACATTTCTGTGTCACCTATCTCAAGTAGTTTGTTTTGTTTTTATTTCTCCAGACTCACCGACTACAGAACAAAGATGATGGGGTGGATGATCGCATTTACCACTTTAGGATTGGTCGTTATCGTCACTGCACAGCCAACAAATGGCATACAAAACATAGGTAAGTATCTTGAATAATCCTCGTAGGCCCCCGTTCTCCATTCTAACTGGTTAGAAAATCACACTTGAAAATGATCTGTTTTCCTACTCGATATGAATATGATACCATCGAGATAGTGGAACATTATCCGGAGGCAAAAATCTATACAAAACATTAGCAATATTTCAGTTTTTATTTAATTAAACCTGAGATTTCGTTAGAAATTCTGATACTGGTTTTTTATGAATAATGCATTATCTAAAACTGGTACACTCCTCTCCAAAAAGTTTGGCAGTCTTGGCTTTCAATTGGATAACAGGTTAGAACACAAATGATCAAATAGTTAAAATCATTAGTCGGAAACGTGCGATAAATGTGATGTATATCGTAAAATCGCCAATGGATCAATGGGTGTGTTGGCGTTGCTTTCCTTTTGGAAGGGAAAGTATTCTTAAGGACAATAGAATCTTGTGGGAAGATACCAAACATTAAAAGTGTCTATTCAGCTGCTCAAACTATCTCATTTTATGGTTCATTGTTTAAGCAACCTCCCCTGAAAACAGCCTAAGTGCAGGGCAACAAGAAAAACGGGAATTGATCTCCCAAGTCCGGAATTTGCAATATCTATTAAAGATGAATCAAATAGCTTCGTTAATTTGTCTCCACGCATAACCATCTCTTCGTAGAACTAATAAAGATTGTTCGAATTACTTCTAAAACGGAGTCCTATTTAATCAGCAATGGTTACGTTCCATTACGACTAATTGTCTGATTTATATAGGATGTAAGAAAAATACTTACAAATATTGAAATCATTATAACAGTCGATCACGAAAGGAATCGTGACAAAGGTTTCTTTCTTTATTACAATGCATTCTTTCGTATATTGTTCCGTGGGATTAATACTATGGGATTAATCCGGGTCTCATTGCTATGGATTCCTGTAAAGTTGGGTAATAATGTAATTGGACGATTTTTAATTGAAGCTATTACTTTATTTTGATTTATCCTTAAGCAATAACCTCACTTAATCTCTAAACGTACAGATATACCCATGCAATCAATGATTGGTATCTTGAGTCTATTTTATGAGATACATTGTCTCCTCTTCTTATGCTATTATCCTTCTTTAAACAACAATATCTTAATCAAAATCAAATACAATACCACTACAAATATTGGTGTCTTATATCAGACGCCAAAGGATGGATGTAACGCCCACAACGGCATTGTCTCAGTTAATTCGGATGTCTATTTTTACATTATCTTCTTTGTCATCACATAAAGAAGAATTTAACCTTTTTAATTAGGAGAGTAATATGTTTAATGGTGTTTCCTCATCGAACAGTATCTTATTTGATGTATTAATGATTACCATGGTGCAAAATGCAATGTTATTGAAACCCTCAAACATTGATCTCAAAATCATTCAATACGCTTGTTCATTTCGTTCAGTTCTTGGGGTTCTCTGTCCATCTTTCTCACTCAGTATTCATGATATTCACATTTATCAAAATTGGGCCATTTTAGAGCTCTTTGTCTCATTTTAGATACTACCATCTGTTGGTAAAGCTTCTTTTCCATCTCTTATTGCCTCTAATATGGTTATTTACCGACCCCTTTCTGATTTCAGATGACGATATATCAGACAATGACGACTTAGAACTATTATTGGATGATACAGATCCGCTCGTAAACAAACTCATACAGTTGTTTTTAGACCACGAACAAACATACGATACCGATGATGATCCATTTCAGCGATCCATAAGAGGCAACCTTCTCAGATATGGCAAACGCGGTGCGCTATTTCGTTACGGCAAACGACAGTCTTTTATGCGTTATGGGAAAAGAGGAGGGCTCTTTCGTTTCGGCAAACGTGCTTCGTCGGGAAGCACTGCCGGAAAAAGAATTTTCCGCTGGGGAAAGCGCAGCGAAGAAACTGCTGAGAAGCGAGGAAATTTAATGAGATGGGGAAAACGAGCAGGAGATAGTGACTTTAACACAGAAAATGAAATAGCAGATGACCTGAGTATGCGCGCAACAAGTAAACATGTTGAAAGAGACGATAAACTTCATGTACCATTTAGATTTGGCCGTGATGAGAGTGAAGAACAATAAATCAAAAGTTCTTAAAATACACTGAATTGCTTAATGAACATTATTTGGCCTTGTTTAATGTTTGGACTACAAGATCAATACTATTGACATATACTTTAATAATAAAATAATTACTAATAACTATTTAGTTAATTCGAGGCAACTTAAATACACCAGAAAAGTTTATTTTTCACAAAATGTGGACTTTTGAATGTAAACTGTCCAAAGTTATTGGCAAACATATAAAATCTGATTTGATAATACAACTAGGATATCTAAAAATAAAACATGTGAAAATATCATAAAGAGGAAACGGTTTATGTTTCAATCCACCATTTTGAGAACTCAACCCTCTGTCAAATAAATATTACTCAGTGGTTTATTTACGCAACTGACTCAATGCTCTGTGTATCAATTACATATTAAGCAAATATTTCATTCTATGGAGGGCAATACCTGTTCATCTTTCAATGATTTTTGCGGTATGTATTGCCCGCAGCCCGTAGGGCGAGGGAAATACATGATGCAAAAATCATTGAAAGTGCAACAGGTATTGCCCGAACGTAGAATGAAATATTTGTTTTATTATATCATTGCTAGACATTCCCTATGATCATTTATTTTAATCAATTAATATATCATTAATCCATAAGTGAACATAATTACGTACAAGTAACATTGAATGGTACATTTTATTTTCGTCCAGTGTAGTTGTCAGAATTCCCGGGCGGGCAATACGCCGTGCAATACGTCTTTTATTATCCTAAAATTGAGGGAGCTGTGAAATACGTTATGGTATTTTTGATCACATGGTACTGACTCGACCAATCAAATCACACAATTTCTAGCAATGATATAATAATGTTTGTTATATCAATTGTTGCTAGCATACAATTAACGAGTGATATAACACACAAAGTACTGGGTCTGTTGCTTAAATCCTTTCCATATATGGGCCACAACAGTTTGATAAAACTAGGCCTAATTAGAATGCAACTCCATGCCAGCAGGGCTGTCGTTGTGCCACGCCCAACCTGAAGTATGGATATGGTGAATCGACAAAGGCAGAAAGGCAGGCCATTTTGACCACTGGAAATGCCCATCCAGTTTGTAAATGGTTATTCCGAAAATACCATTGTTTTATCGCTAGACTCACTCGCAGGGTATTTCTAAAGTGAGCATTCCCCCCTCTGAAATCATAGGGGAAAACTTTTACACTATTTCGCGAAAATGTTGCAGTCACTATTTGTTTTATTACATACTCTGTCCCTGTAATTGAAACTCATGAGATATACGTAAAACAAATGTAATGATTTCATTTCAAAATTCATTAAGGTTTTTATGAGCAACAAGTGATCTTTAACGAACATGTTCAAGTATCCTTTTTGCTTTTTCATTTTATGAAAGTATTGTTGTGGTGGTGGTTAATTTGTGCCCATCTGGTGTTAGCTTCAAGCCCAAACTCCCATCCAATGTCTCGGAATAGAATATGTTGAAGACTAGCACTGCCACAGGGTCTCCTTCCAGCCTGTTCGATTATTTGGTGTCTGTAGCTTACGTTTTGTTAGTTACATTGATAGATAGATGTACTGATCTATACTCGCTTATTGGATATGATTTTTTAAAAATCCCGTTTATGATATATCTGGAATGTTTCAACAGTTCAATCAAATTGAAGTAATTCTGTAATTGTTCTGTTTCAATTTTAAATGCATCTGACCCCAAGGTCTGTTAGTGTTATGAAAAATACGTTGTCTGCATTAGGGTTAACTGTGAATTGAGTAAGTTCAATGGGACAATGTACATTCGAGTTGACAACATACACTTATGATTTTTTAAATTATAGCCAAAATGTTAATACATGTACTTATTAAATCTTCAACTGACCTTAATTGTGCTGTTTAAAGAAACATATTCTCATAAAAATCTTCCACACTCTTAGACGACAGGGGAGGAAATGATCAAAGGAAATGTGTAAAAACACAATATTTTCCAACTGACCAATTATATGAGTAAATTGACTACGAAAAAATCGAGCACTGTTCGAAAATCTTTTAACGTTATAAGAAAGTTAAATGTCTTCCTAAACGAATACACAAAAATATCAAACATGAAATCTTTAATGCATTCTCAGATTGTTTTTTTAAAACCTACATCAAACCTACATCATTGTCTTTGCTTCAAATCGGTTAAATATTGACATCGTACATCTATTTAAGTGTACTACGGTATATTTTGTCACTGTACCTTGTCGATGGTTAGGCGTGTGCAAGGATTTAGAACTTTCCAGGGAATTAGCTCATCTATTTCATATTATATTGTTACGCGGTATATGGCATACATTCATGGTTGCGCGGTATTTGTGATACGGGTGAATATGCCATACTCACCTGCGGTAGATGGCATATTCCGCAGGTGAGTATGTGATATTCCGCAGTGAATATGCGATACATTGATTTCAGTGAATACCCGATACTCACCTGCGGAATATGTCATACTCACTTGGGGAATATGCCATATACCGCAGGTGAATATGACATATACCGCAGGTGAAAACGTGATACAGAAAGTCTTGATTTGATTGGTTGCGAGAATCGAATCTAAATGTAAAACTACGCTGGATTACCAATTTAGTTAGTGCGTCGAATACTAATATATTAATCCTGGATTGATTGAGTAAGTTTATTACGCGAGATTGGTGACTGATACTTCTGCTAAGTTAAAATATTCGATACACAGTATTGTTAACGTTGATTCAGCAATCATTATAATCGTTTATAACGTTTTACTTGTTCGTTCAATCGATGCAATTGACAATTGCGTACTTCCGTATCATGTTTTCATTGGTTAATGTGTATGCCATATACCGCAGGTGAATCTGTCATACACCGCAAGTGAATATGCCATATTCGTTGCGAAATATGACATATTTTTGTATCGTGTATCGCGTAATACATATTATGGGACCATGAATAAGCCAATGAGCATCTAGAATACAAATGGGGTATACAAGTATAATAATATGCATCAGTGCGAATTATCGCTCATTATCATTTCCATGGTAACATTTATGGCCAAAAATCTATTGAAATCATAACATTTTTATGTATAAACAAAACATAGATGCCTAGATTTAGTAAAAATAGCAACATAACAATTTCCTCTATGGATTTGTTCTCCCATTTGTAGTGTTTACTTGTCCGATTGAGACTGTTATGGCGTCATTACGAGTATACAGGGTGTCAAATAAGTCCCGCCCCCCCTGCTACAGCTAAATCCTTAATAGATGGTATCTAGTGTGATATACCATTGGAAAGATCATCCAAAGTTATGTTAACTCACCAAATCTCAAGTATTTTGGATGAAATTCACCTATGTTTTCATGATGTCCTTTATAGTAAGTGCACCCTCCTTAAGCAGCTTTTTTTGCGTCAAAATGAGAAGGATATGACCCCAGAAATATATCAAAAGTTAATATTTTTCGCATTCCGCTTGTTACAAAAAGGTTTTCACCATTTTCCTTTCACCTATATTTTTTACACATCTAAACCTATCCAGAAATTGGTATAATTCATTGCCATATACATATGTAGTCATCTTTAGGTCCTTTGACTTTTCATATACCCGATTCTTAAAGAGGCTCTATGCCATAGGCTAGCACAATCAAGACCCCTCTGGACTTTTTTGCATATTGAGTTTCACCACATATATACCCATCTACTTACCAAAGAAGAATTCCCAAATCCCCCTCTTTCAGTGTTAATTTTGCGATTGTGCTGGCCGATCTAATTATTTTCGAAGAAATTAATTCAATCTGACGTTTGAATATACCGGGAAAGTCCTCCTGTTATCTGATTGGTCGCTGAATTTGTTTATCATAAACCTGATTGGCTGCCTGGTGCAAGGCGCTTGTGGGCGCTTGTGGGACTCAATGGGGATTCCCCTTGCTAGCCGAGGAATCGATTGTGTTATTCTCAAGATATATCCATGGTATGTGAGATATTAAATGAGCAATAACAATAGGACATCATTGGTTGTGTGGGGGAGAAACCTATGGCATAATGCATCTTTAAAATCCTGCAAAATACGCCAAATTGCCATATTTCTAGGCCTATGGTCACCTCAATTGATACAATGTAAAAATTTGTGAGATTGATTGACAAGAGTCAGATATATGTCAATCAATGTAACTTTGAAAGACCTTTCCAATGATATATCACACTTGGTACCATATATCTTGGTTTTGGCTGTAGAGGGGGTGGGGCGGGACTTATTTGACACCCTGTATAATTAGCGAGGATAAGTTACACGTTATATCAAAAACTTGTACGTGAACGTGTAGAGTTATATGGTCCTCTATGGATAAGTTCTCCCATTCGTAGTGTTTACAGGCCGATTGAGTATAAACAAAGGTAAAGGTAAATAAAGGTAATAAAGGTATGCGGAAAATAATTTTTGATTATGTCCCTGGGAAAGTGAATTGAGAGCGAAAGAGAGTGGTCCCCGGCGGTCGAAATATCACACGCTCACATACAGGTTCTCTTCAAATATAATATTCAAATTTTCAGCCATTTCCAAATAAAAGTTGATTTTGTAATCATTAAATATTCCACTATAGACCTTTCCAAACCGTGCCTCTTTTTGGTAAATCAAATAAGCTATGATATTTATTGGCTGGATCTGCACCATTTTGAAGTGTATTGAGAGCGGGACAGTAGTCCCCGGGTGGTGATGGTGTATACATTGACATTGGCGTATGTGCAAGTAGTACAAGAGAGAGAGAGAGAGGGTTGCATGTCAGTGTTCACTTTGCAATTACAAGATGGCTCTACAGCTTTTCACTCTCTCATAACTGTTCAAACTTCTCATATATCATAGGGAAATCTCTATTTCACCTACTGTTCACAGTGTCTTAAAACATGTCTACTCAACTGACTTATTGTGCAATGATAAGTAACATAGGTTACAAATGGTTTAATGTTGCATACACAAATGATACTGAATAGTACATGAATAGGTCTCTCGCATCAACCAATTTATGTCTCCTGGATATATTTTTTAGATCCGTGCACTTTATTTTACAATTCAAACCAATGCTAATAAAACAACAATAAAACAACTCATTTGTATTTAAATATAATGGTACCATTACATTAAAGGTTACAGTATACTTTACTCTATCACATCAATCTACAATAGGCATAGTAAAAATGAAAAAAGTCAACATATACATTGTACATAAAGTTATTGTGCATATTAGTTATTACAGTAGCTCCCATGAATGAGCATTTTTTATTTTATAAGTAGATACCATTTTCAATAGTGATTATTATACCATTATTTTGTGAAAATTGTCTTAAAAAGAAATCCACTTTCACATTTTTCGGAAAAGCAACAATTAAACATAAAAATGTACATATTTCCCTGAATAATGATAATTCTTTAATTTTTGATAAATATATATGACAGAGATATGATTCACAAATATTCTGAATTAAATAAGATTATTATTATATTGAGAAAATGTTGTCACGGCCATTTCCTTAACTGGAAAATATCAACTGGTTGGGGTGAACGTAGTTGTAACTCTCGTGTTAGCATGATAAGAGTAGTGCTCGCATTAGGCAAGCTTTACACACCGTTAATGACTTGGAAAATCCAATTTACGATTGTGCTATAAAAGAAATAATACTTGAATGCATATCTGCAAACATGAGTACAAGGCAAAGGAAAAATCAATTATTGAAACCAACATGAAAATAGCATTTAGTGATTTTTCTAATTGGAGGCATCCTAATATAAATCTTTTTGATCTATAAAACTTGCTTAAAATGATTACTGAATCAATACTTATTGAATAAGAACCATGAGATACTTAGATTTTAAGTCATTCTGAAGATTGATATGACATACTTGGTTAGCCAAGAAAAACTTCAACTAGAAAACAGCAACGCCACGGTTAGTGAATCCCAAGGAACAAAATATATAATATCTAAAATATTAAAGCCTCACTATGCATATTTTCAACATTTTTTGGCAAAACAAAGACTTACTTTTGAACTTCATAGTTTTCCCAATGGATTGACAAGTACCTTTATCTTTCATTGGACATCAAAACAGCTCAAAAGAACCACATCAAAGCTTATAATAAATTATCAAAAATATTTTTGATCTGTCGAGTTGTTATATATCAAGTTTTTACAAATGTCACTGAGAGATGGCGAAGTTGTTTGTAGTACATGATTCGTTAACTTTTATAGAAGTGTCGGCATCTTTTAAATCGAGAGTTATTCAAAAACATGCACTTTGTAAAAAAAAGTGCATGCACCATTTAAGATTTCCGAACTTCAAATGCTGTTTTCTATGTGAGTTATTTTTTCTTGGTTCAATATCAATGCATATCAAGCTTTCTATCATATTTGATTGAGTGTGTAAATAACATGTTTCAATGATTATTTTATCTTTTTCCTTCTAAATTAAGCATAGTGGGCCTTTAAACTATAATTTATATGAGTTCTAAATTGTTCTCAACAAGATATTACATGATTAGACATCCAAAGAGTGATGTGTTGTTTGGTTTTCAAATGTTATTGTTTATGCTTTCAACCAGTTTAATATTATTATCATATTTCTTTATTTCCCATTTAGCATGGAGTACAAAAGTTTAAACATTTAACACAACAGTGAAAATTAACCAAAAACAACGACACAAAAACACATCTAAAAATTTAAGACAATAACAAAAAACATACAAAACAACAAAAACAATCCACATCTAAAATGTCAACAGTCAATGACAAGTAATAAAGTATCTATTAAAAAATCACAAGTTTTAGATGTACAGCAGAGGGCATCACTATATCCCTACGAAACCTGCTTCGTTGAGATAATTAACCAATATTTAGAATGGATAGCCGACACAATTTATTGTAATGAATCATGAAAGAGACCAGGTGAAAAATCTTACATTTCATTGCTGTGGGTTTATCCCTGGGAGTCTTTTCATAAATGTTACTTCTTTCTGGCTCATTTTCTTCAAAATAAAATGACCCGCCCCCCCCCCCCCTAGTTAAAAAACAAATTTTTCAATGGTTGAATCTTCCATATCACATTTTTCGTCTTAGCATGGTCTCGGATAAAAGATGGGATTAGCTAGTCTTAAAATATAACCATTCATCAGTTGTAAAATATAGAATGGCTATTATCTTATATAAGTTGTGTTGGCTGGATTGTGCTATATCATGCCTAGCTATGTATGAATATCGAATACATACGACTAGATGACTATATACACAGGGACTATACAGGCCCCACTGACATTGTGAGCGATGAGCTCGTGTTAGAAGCGGGGCCTTTAGAGATATGATAGAATTGAACTATGAAATTTTCTATGAAACGTTAGTTAGTGAAACTCTGTACCACTTTATTTCATAGTACAATGGCTATTTCAATTGCAGGGCAATGATGTTCTTCAACTATAACTATATTTTAATATCATATCTCTCAAGGCCCCACTTCTAGCATGAGCTCATTGCTTGCGATGTCAGAGGGAACTTGCTCGCGATATACAGGGCCTGGATAGTCACCGTGATATAGGCAACATTAAATATGTCAGCAGGGTTGATATCAGATTACACACGTGTCTGATTTTCTTCTTACAAAAATGCAATCCCTTCATTTAGAAAGACGCTTTCAATAATGGAATCTTCTGGAATTTTGACAAAAATCACGTTTTTTGTCTTAGTTTTCTCTTGCATCAATTTATCAAAAATGCTTGTTCAGAAAGTTGCCATTATTCGAGTCATTTCTGAATTACTTCCATATACATAATAGTATCATCAATGGTACATGTATATCAAACTTCTATTTTTCAATATTTAAAGCAGAGGAACAGGAATGCTGTTGCCTTAGTTACCCATGTCCTCGTTGAGGTCATCCAATTTGTTCCCATGGCAGTTTATTGCCAAAAAGTCTGTTGAAACACATGTTTACATGTAACCAAAACATAGGTGCCTACAAATAAGGTAATTTATATAAAACATTAACATCATTCATTTGATTAAGGTTTTTTTAAAATAATAATCTTATTTTTTCTTGTCACCATAATGATGTTCTTAAGTAAACAAAACATATGTGCCTGGACATAAGTAAATTCATTACATAACAAGCATTCATTAATCTTAATTGATATTTTTCTGTTGTTACAATAATAATATTGCTTTTGACATAAATAAAAAACAATTTAAGACTGAATGAGAGTTCAAATTGTACATTTCATAACTCCAAGTTAATCCCTGGGAGTCTATTCATAAATGTTATTTTCTTGAAATGATGCCATAAGCAGAGATGAAATTGCTAAAGATTGTAGAATGATATTACAAAAATTCATCCAGCAACTGTCAAGACATAGAACTTCAAAATTAAAAGGTTATGGTTGTTATGGTAACAGGAATCTGGTATATGAGGAGCAATGTCGTCACAATTGTGACATATGCAATGCTGGATGCAGTGTTCTTATGACAAAAGCATTGACAAAGAATTATTAAGTCCTGACAGAAGTTATTACCGGAGTGCTTAGTTTTGGACCTTTTTGGTGACTTTCTTTCAGTAATTGCGCAGTACTGTCTTTTTGTATTGCAATTTGCTTTTAATGGTGGTTATTTTTATGAGACAGAACACTTGGGATAAAAACATAATTTAACTATTTATAGGCATTTTTGTTATGACATATCATTCTCTTTATTTGATAAACAAGGGGTAGTTTTATGAAAATATTTTTGAGCAAGATGTGCAGACAAACTAACAGATGTTCCATACATAATTAATATATACATGTTCATGACATGGCCAGCAGTCATACACCTGTACACTGTGTTGTATGTCTACCCAATTCACAAGTTTATAAATGCATGACGTGTTAATAACACAGTCTCTGAATTCAACAGTTACGTAATACAAGTATATAGTATACTGTAAATTATCTTAATTTAATATTACTCAATTTAGCTATTTCTTGAATAATGGCAGCTATTTGATTTGAAGGCTTAAGATTTACTAAACAGAAAATAAAATGATGAAATTTTCTTTGACGTCATTAATAATTCTTTGGTAATCCTAAAATTGAGGTGAACTTCAAATTAACAAAATATAATTGACAGTATACTTGTAAAAACTAAATAATATGTACACATTGCACCCAAACATAGGATAGTTATTAATTTTGTGTATCAAACTTGCATCTTATCTGAGATGTTATCTATTGTTTATGGCTATAGACACAAATTGTCACATTTATCTTCAAACATAACATTAAATCATCGATTTTCATATTTTCAACATCACCCTTGTGTAGGCTTCATCTGTTTTTAATACACAACCAAACATTATAGTCAATACGTTCTCTGAAGAGATACAGCTGTAATACTGATATCTGATTGGAAGTTCCCGTTTATCTGGAATTCAGTTACCCGGAAAGACAACAAGATGATAGTCATAGGACTCCCTGAATGTCAAATTGTTGAACTTTTTCAATTATTCCTGCTCAGTCGCAATGAATTCTCTAGCAAAGCCCTACTTTGAGAAATATTCCCCTATCAAGGTACATGTAATTGTTTTATTCAATTGTGCATATTCTATTACTCGGTTATCTTCGTGTTCTTTGATTGTCACCATCGAACCAAGTTCATATTTTTATGGTGTTTTACCTAACTTTAGGTTCATATTTCTGACTGAGTCAAATAGCCGCCATTTTGGATATTATTCGCCTCGTCGCTTTTTTCTTCCTGGCTACGTCACTGGAATTTGTTTTACATTGGACATACATCTCTTTCGTTAAAAAAAACATAAAAACATCACATCTTGAAAATTGGGTCTCTAGTGTTACTGAATGAATTTTGCTTGTCCATGTTTAATGTCACAATACTGAGGCACTGTGCCAGAACCTGAAAGCATACAAAGACAAACAATTATACCTAACTGTGTAACTATTGAAAATTTTTCTTGTTGTATGTTTGTATTATATATATACAGTATACATTTTAAAATTACATCTGATAAAGGTACCACCAACACCACCCTTTAATCTACATATCTTGTATATTTCTATCGCATGATAACATTCCATAATTTCATAGGTTCCATACTGTGGTACCAACCTTGGGGCAGTTTTATATGTCTCTGCTTGAGGAAAGTACTCATGTGGTTCAAATTAACTTAATGTAATTTTATTCAGCAGAAAGGGTTAGTTTGTATTCGCGAATGCAACTAATGCCTGTGGGTTACCGGTTCATAACCTACTATTTTATGGCCAACTCATTTAAATATTAATGTACCACTATTCCACTCATATTCTAATGAGTTGGTCATAAAATAGTATGTTAAACCGGTAGGCCACAGCCCCCGACCAACAGCTGAAAGTTGCATTCACAAATACAAGCTTAGTCTTAGGGAGGAACATGGACCTAGCAGGGGGCCACCCTTGTCCACTAAATATGACATTATTAGCCCAAACGTACCAACCTTGGAGTAGGGTACGATCAGCTATGTTCTATTTTCAATTTTGCTTCATTGGCTCCGTAATCTGTCCCAACAATAGGGAAGATACAGTTTCATAATATCTTGTATTGGTGTTTGTCAATGTTAGTGTCAAGAGTGTTAAGTACTATCTAGATTGGAGGCATGTGCCAATGTGGTAGCTAGGCATTCGTCAAGAAACAAGGGTCGTTTGTTAGTAAATATTGTTTTTTCTAAGAAGTTACATAATATGTAAACATGTATCTCTATTATATAGATGGCAATAAACATACATAGTACCATAAAAGAAAGTTTCATCAAATTATGGGCAAATTATTTGTTTTAGTAGAAACATATTTTCCATCAGACATGTAGTACCCACTCAGCAAACAGATCTCAAAATCCATGATAACTCATTTTTGGAATGCTCCCACATCATTTCTTAAATCATTTGAAGTTTGATATCACTTTGCTTCCATTTTGATGTAAGTAAAAGAATTGGGTGAATATGGGGCATGTTCAAGTTGTGGCTGTCCCAACTCATCCACTGTACTAGTTAACAGGATGGCCTTGTGTGCCTTGTGTGGTGGGGCATTGATATCTTTTGGCTTATATCAAGTCAAGAAGAGTTTTATTTCTTTGAAAAATTAGATTAGACCTGGGTGATGTGATGTCACATATTAAGAATCAACTTCAGTGTTTAAGTCAAAAAGGCTCAGTCTAAAGCTTGGGTCATAAAAACACTAAATATTATATCAAGAAGAATTACACCATTCAGTCTTCAGTGGGCTCACATGGTGATTCCCTGTACTCAAATACTTTATCTAGGAAGCAAGTAAAAAGCTTTTTAAAAAAATATATATACATGTATATTATGGATAGGCATAACCTATTATACTAGTATAATACAATAGGATAATTGAAGTTGTTCAATAGAATTATTTCATCATGAAATCATTATGAGTAACATTGCAAAAAAGGATAAATTAAGTCAACTAATCAGATTTGTTACATTATTATCTGTTTTGGAAACACTAAAATACAGACTTGAATAATGTGAAAAATGTGACATCTGCAACAAATAGCTGATTTCTCCAAAATGGGAAAAAGATCTAGCCCAATGGTGTAAATTATCAGTATGGACCCCCATAAAATGGATGTCAGTATTTATTCAAACAATCGCCAGTTTTGAAATGGGTGATTCCAAAAATGGTGCATATTTACAACTATTATGCCACTTGAGAGGCAAATAATTTTCCAAGCTTTCATATTTGAGACAGCTAATATATTAACAACCGAGAAACTATCATTTTGCCGGTTTAAATTTCCTGACTTTTTTCCTGACAGACAGATTAGGTATAAAGACTACCATGTATTAAAATACACGATGATGCCCTACCTTTCTGGTGTCCTGAGGCAAGATAATGCCATCATCCCAAACTCTACCAGAAGAATGAAATGAGGAAGACTCAACAGCTACTCTCTCCAGTACCTTGCTCTTTACTGTAGAGACCTGGTCCTCATCTTCTGGATGCATCAACTATGGCAAAACCAGAGGCATATTAATGTCTAGGTTGTAAGTTAAAGATTTTCAAACAAAACGAATCTATATACAGAACAAATCGTTAACATGTTTAATTACTTTTTGGGAGTGTTCTGAGTGAAACCTTAGTGTGCCATTCTGCAGTCATACCATGACTATTATGGCAAAAATCCTTAGAAAAGTCTGGGTAAAAAGAGATCTTGTGTCAGCTTGAATCATTACTACATGTACTTATGTTGAAGAAGTAGATGGCACTTATGTTTGTCCAAATATTTGACCATATGATGTAATTCATAAGCACATGTCTCTGATGTTTCCGCCACCCACCTAAGTGGAATTGTAGCTTCCTACGACACCATGTAGTCTGATGTTTAAATTTATGTGTACATGCAATTTCATTTGTATATCTATCGCCAGGAACCTTCATCTGAACTAAATATTAGTTGATTGGTTGGTTGGTTGGCTGGTTGGTTGGTTGTGTTTACCTGTCATTTGAAACCATTTCTATTCCCTCGTCTCATTGCAGTCAATCAATCGAAATGTAAATGCATTTCATAAGTTACATGTACCATCACGGGGATACCATAAACTTATCTAAATCTGATTTCTCCAACTGACCAAATGATTTGCTATGCATTGGGCATCGAGTGACGGTCAATTATATGTTCTGTAAATGAAAATTATGAAATAATTTGATTTACATGTAAGAACTAAATGAAGTTTAAAGCATAGAAAAGGAGTTTGAAATTGGTGCAGTAAGCTTAAGCTTGTTTTGCTTAAAATGGCATATAAAATTGGACAGGTCCTTTTAGTTTTGTTTACCCATGCTGACCTTTAGTTAATTAAGCTTATAATATGCAGAGTTTTATTCATGCTTGAATGTTCTTGCAGTATACCAATTAGAAGCTAAAATGTAGGTTTATAGGTAATTTGTGATGAAGGCATCAGAACAGAGGCACTGAATTATGATTAGAACTTCAGTTAGATAGCTAGAGCCAGCAAACAATCTGCAGCATTGCAAAAATAATGTAAAATATTATTGCTATTTAAAATAATCAATTATGATTTGCAGCAACTACATGTATGTGGGTATCTAACACTATATATAGAAAATAAATACAACTTACTAGGTCTAAGCTGAACAAAGGAAAAGTGGAATTGAAATGGAAGAATTTCAGTTCAAATATGTTTTCTTTGGTGCAAACTGAAAATTAGGTCAGAAAGAGGATCATTTTTTGCTTCAAAATCAATAATCCAACTGCAAAAATGTTAGTCAACTAGAATAATAGCGTAAGCAAAAATAAACTAAGGATATCATGTCAAATTTATAATGATCTTCTCCTGTCCTTGAAGCTTATAATATAGGCCTACAACTGGTATTAGAAAATATTTGCAATGCATTTAAATGAACAAAGGAATATCTTCTCCTGTCGTTGAAGCTTATAATATAGGCCTACTACTGGTGTTAGAAAATATTTGCAATGCATTTAAATGAACAAAGGAATATCTTCTCCCGTCCTTGAAACTTATAATATAGGCCTACAACTGGTATTAGAAAATATTTGCAATGCATTTAAATGAACAAAGGAATATCTTCTCCTGTCGTTGAAGCTTATAATATAGGCCTACTACTGGTGTTAGAAAATATTTGCAATGCATTTAAATGAACAAAGGAATATCTTCTCCTGTCCTTGAAGCTTATAATATAGGCCTACTACTGGTGTTAGAAAATATTTGCAATGCATTTAAATGAACAAAGGAATATCTTCTCCTGTCCTTGAAGCTTATAATATAGGCCTACTACTGGTGTTAGAAAATATTTGCAATGCATTTAAATGAACAAAGGAATATCTTCTCCTGTCCTTGAAGCTTATAATATATGGTTGGCCTATTAGTATAAAGAATGCATGCGTTGTTTACGGGTGTGTAGGCGTTAATTACGCTCGTGTAGATGTAAAATTACGCCCGTGCTGACGAAAAATTACGCCTGTGTAGGCGTAAATTACGCCCGTGAAGAAGTAAATTCTACGGGCGTGCAGAATACATTTACATGTGAACTTACGGCGTTAAAATTATTAATTACGGGCGTTAAGACTGTTATTTTACACGCGCTGAGAAACATCTTCACGCCCGTGGAGTTTATTTTTAGCGCCGTAAATTATGAACCAATCAGAACCTTACTTACATGATGATTTAATGCATCCTTGCTAAAAGAGCAACTCCGAGATACTTGCGCTAGTAAACAACAATCAGAAGCCTGCTTACATTTTAGTGTGTTGCATTGAGGTCCTTAAATATTCGTTCAAGATTGAACTAGATTTAACCAAAGAAGTATTCATTTTTTTAGAGCAAATTATATTAAAAGGCAAATTGAAGAGACATGTACTGTGTTGGCAGTTATCAACACCCATTGTAGAAACGACAAAATTGCAGAGTATTTTGAGAAGGTATACATGTTTGGTTTCTAAATACGATGATTTTTGGATAATTCTCCAATCTAGGCGTCGGCTTCAGAGGTAGGCTAGGTAGGGACTTATTAAGCTCACACGCATTGCAGCTTACGGTCTCATTATACAGTCAGATCGCTAATGTATCCCTCTAAAGGATGTGTCCAGATACTAGAATTATAGTATCTAATCAACTGCAAATTGACTCTAGACTATATCCTGCAGATCTGGCATTTTTTGAAAATGTACTGAAAATGTCAAATACCTAGCCAACATATGTTCAAATTTGGTGTTAGGGAGATGTGTACTTTTTGGAATCTTTATGCAGCCGTCTTTATATGTCACATGTTATTTCCAGGAATACATAACTCATTTAATATACGATGTAAATCTTTCACATTTGCACAAATAGTGCACCGAGATACCCAGAAAAGAAATAATATTTCATATGCCTCCAATTGCAACAGTTGTTCCTGGCACAATCATGAGTATGTTATTAACTTGCACAAGGATCTTGGAGTTGTACTTTTAGCTATAATGCATCGTATCATCATGTAAGCAAGATGCTGGTTGGTTCATAATTCACGGCGCTAAAATGAACTCGACGGGCGTGAAGATGTTTCTCAGCGCGTGTAAAGTAACAGTCTTAACGCCCGTAATTAATAATTTTAACGCCGTAAGTTCACGCCTGTAAATGTATTCTGAACGCCCGTAGAATTTACTTCTTCACGGGCGTAATTTACGCCTACACAGGCGTAATTTTTCGTCAGCACGGGCGTAATTTTACATCTACACGAGCGTAATTAACGCCTACACACCCGTAAACAACGCATGCATTCTTTATACTAATAGGCCAACCATATATAATATAGGCCTACTACTGGTGTTAGAAAATATTTGCAATGCATTTAAATGAACAAAGGAATATCTTCTCCCGTCCTTGAAGCTTATAATATAGGCCTACAACTGGTATTAGAAAATATTTGCAATGCATTTAAATGAACAAAGGAATATCTTCTCCTGTTGTTGAAGCTTATAATATAGGCCTACTACTGGTGTTAGAAAATATTTGCAATGCATTTAAATGAACAAAGGAATATCTTCTCCTGTCCTTGAAGCTTATAATATAGGCCTACTACTGGTGTTAGAAAATATTTGCAATGCATTTAAATGAACAAAGGAATATCTTCTCCTGTCCTTGAAGCTTATAATATAGGCCTACTACTGGTGTTAGAAAATATTTGCAATGCATTTAAATGAACAACTGAACAAAGGAATATCTTCTCCTATCCTTGAAGCTTATAATATAGGCCTACTACTGGTGTTAGAAAATATTTGCAATGCATTTAAATGAACAAAGGAATATCTTCTCCTGTCCTTGAAGCTTATAATATAGGCCTACAACTGGTATTAGAAAATATTTGCAATGCATTTAAATGAACAAAGGAATATCTTCTCCTGTCCTTGAAGCTTATAATATAGGCCTACTACTGGTGTTAGAAAATATTTGCAATGCATTTAAATGAACAAAGGAATATCTTCTCCTGTCCTTGAAGCTTATAATATAGGCCTACTACTGGTGTTAGAAAATATTTGCAATGCATTTAAATGAACAACTGAACAAAGGAATATCTTCTCCTATCCTTGAAGCTTATAATATAGGCCTACTACTGGTGTTAGAAAATATTTGCAATGCATTTAAATGAACAAAGGAATATCTTCTCCTGTCCTTGAAGCTTATAATATAGGCCTACAACTGGTATTAGAAAATATTTGCAATGCATTTAAATGAACAAAGGAATATCTTCTCCTGTCCTTGAAGCTTATAATAGTAAAAAATGCCCTATCAGCTTTTTAGAAGGCGAGTGTGGATGGACCCCAAATTATATAAGACATTATATAGAAGGTATTCGATTATTGTATAGATTAGTTGTTAATTGTGAAGAGGCCAATATGGCAAAGAAAGCATTTAGATGGGATTTAAGCTTAGCCAAATTGAAATGTGATTTTACCTGGAACGAAGAAATCCAGAGCATATGTAAAAGTGTTGACATGCTGAATATGTATGATGATATGAAAAAATGTAAAGATTTTAAAAAATTTGTGAATCAAATGAAAGGAAAATTAATGAAATTACATGAAACTCAATGGTTGGAGACAATTAGGGAAAAAAGAAAATTGACTTTTTATAAGAGCTTTAAATTATCTTTTCAAAGGTCTGAATATTTATTTTGTAATTTTTTGAGTAGAAAACAAAGATCTGTTTTAGCTAAATTTCGATCTGGCACTTTACCTTTGGAGATTGAAACGGGTAGGTGGCAGAATATACCAAGTCAAGAGAGATATTGTAGGCAATGTAAGAATGAAATAGGTGATGAGTTTCATTTTTTATTCAAGTGTAAAGTTAATCATAAATTAAGAGAGGAAATGTTTTGTAAAGTAAAAGGTATATATGATCTATTTGAGTCTTGTGATAATGAAAAGAAAACAATGAACTTATTGAATTCTAAATCACTCTGTAAATATGTTTCAAATTTTTTGCTTTTGTCT